TCACGTCGGCTTCATGCCGGATCCCTGTGCGTTCTTCTTTGCTGTGTCTAAGTTCAAATGGAGGCATTCAAAGAACCTCTGCATCTGCACCAAAGGGATTGCAATAGGGTACACTTTTAAAATTTTCTCAGATATACGCATGATGATGAACACATTTTTCCCCATTATGAAAAAGATAGCAATCCTATTACTGGCTGCAAACTGTATCCATTTCTGTTTTTGCTTTGAGAGGAGCAAATCATACAAACTAGAAGGGACCCTGAAGATCATCTAGTCCAACCCTTTGCAGATTCTGGAAATCCACAGTTGAAGCATGTGGAAGCATGGAATAAGAGATTTGCAGAACCAGCATGTTCATTGGACTATAGCTTTGGAGACCAAGGGTGCGTCTACACTGTGAAATTAATGGATCACCTTTGGAGTTCCCTTCCAACTCCAATAGAATATAGATTACTTAGGAGTTCAGTGGAATCTCCTTTTCAAAGTTTTTCAAAAGAGGCTGTATGGCTGTCTGTCAGGAGGGCTTGGATGGTGTCTTTTAGCCTGGCAGGAGTAGGTCTGACCGGTTGGCCTTTGGAGACCCAACTTTTGGTTCATGAGTGTGACTCCAATAGTTGTAGTGCCAGCAGTGGCTGGATGGCCCTCTATCAGGAGGGCTTGGATGGTGTCTTTTAGCCTGGCAGGAGTGGGTCAGACCGATTGGCTTTTGGAGATCCTTCTAACTTTTGGTTCATGAGTGTGACACTAATAGTTTTAGTTCTAGCAGTGGCTGGATGGCCCTCTGTCAGGAGGGCTTAGATGGTGTATTTTAGCCCGGCAGGAGTGGGTCAGACTGGATGGCCTTTGGAGACCCTTTCAACTTTTGGTTCATGAGTGTGACTCCAGTAGTTTCAGTCCTAGCAGTGGCTGGATGGCCCTCTGTCAAGAGGGCTTGGATGGTGTCTTTTAGCATGGCAGGAGTGGGTCACATTGGTTGACCTTTGGAGACCCTTCCAACTTTTGGTTCATGAGTGTGACTCCAGTAGTTTTAGTGCCAGCAGTGACTGGATGGCCCTCTGTCAAGAGGGCTTAGATGGTGTCTTTTAGCCTGGCAGGAGTGGGTCAGACTGGTTGACCTTTGGAGACCGTTCCAACTTTTGGTTCATGAGTGTGACCCCAGTAGCTTTAGTGCCAGCAGTGGCTAGATGGCCCTCTGTCAGGAGGGTTTGGATGGTGTCTTTCAGCCTGGCAGGAGTGAGCCTATGGAGACATTGGTTGGCCTTTGGAGACCCTTCCAACTTTTGGTTCGTGAGTGTGACACAAATCATTTTAGTGCTAGCAGTGGCTAGATGGCCCTCTGTCAGGATGGTCTCCCGTCAGAAGCAGGTCAGACTGGATAGCCTTTGGGGACCCCTCCAAATCTAATGGAATATTAATTGCCTCAGAGTCCCTATCTTTGGAGACTTTTAAACACAAGCTAAACAGCTTCAATCAAGAGGGCTTGGATTGTTTTTTCCTGCTTGGCAGAAGGTCAGACTGGATGGCCTTTGGGGGTCTCTTCCAACTCTAGTGGAATATGAAATGTATGGAGGTATGGTGGAGTCTCTTTCCTTGGGGCTGGATGGGCATCTATCAAGAGGGTTTGGAAAGTGTTTCCCTGCTTGGCAGAAGGTCAGACTGGATGGCCTCTGGGGGTCCCTTCTAACTCTGGGGTGCTTTGAGAGATGCGGTGTGTTTTCTCCAGTGCCTGACTTTGCTTGGGCTCAGACGCTTGATAATCAGGGACCTGAGGCAAGGCATTCGGGCAGCAGATGGCAAGGCTTTGCAATTGGCAAAGCTTTTTGGGTGGCAGCGGGTTGGGAGAGCCGGCCAAGTTTCTCCCAGGAAGCGGCTGTACTTGTGAGAACCAGGCTGCTGTCTGCTGATCCAATGCCTTGGCGCTCACCAGCTTGAGAGGCTGTGCCTCTGCCTCCCCTCCGTGCCCAAAAACAGTCCCTGCAACTCAGCTTTCTCTTCCCACCTTGAGTTCAGGACAGGCAAAGATTCAACAGGAGCAGCTCTGCCTCTTCAAATTGATGGTTTTCCTCTTTGTTCTTTGTATTTTAATATCTGTATTGCAATGGCATAGTGTTTTATCTGTATGTTTTAACTATGCTGTAACCCCACCTTGAAAAGAGGCGTGCTGTTGCTGGAATACCTGGAATCACACTGTAATTGAAAAGAGATGTTGATGCTAAGCTGGAATGTGTCCAGAGGAAGAGGGTGACTCAAGGGATCAAGGGTCTGGAGAACAAGCCCTATTTATTATTTATTTGTCGTGTCAGGGCAACCAGTCAATTATATTACATTTCTAACAGAAAAAAGCAAACAAACAGACAAAATACAAAATTTGTGAGTTTGGTAGTTGATGAAAAGTCCTTTGACCAGTAGCTGGCCACTTGGAGTGCCTCTGGTGTTGCCGCAAGAAGGTCCTCCATAGTGCATGTGGCAGGGCTCAGGGCTGCATTGTAGTAGGTGGTCATTGGTTTGTCTTCCCCACACTCTCATGTCGAGGATTCCACTTTGTAGCCCCATTTCTGAAGGTTAGGTCTGCATCTCGTGGTGCCAGAGCGCAGTCTGTTCAGGCCTTCCAAGTAGCCCTGTTTTCTGTGTGCCCAGGGGGGAGTCTCTCATTTGGTATCAGCCATTGATTGAGGTTCTGGGTTTGGGCCTGCCACTTTTGGACTCTCGCTTGCTGAGGTGTTCCAGCGAGTGTCTCTGTAGATCTTAGAAAAACTATGTCTTGATTTAAGTCGTTGACGTGCTGGCTGATACCCAAACAGGGGATGAGCTGGAGATGTCTCTGCCTTGGTCCTTTCACTATTGGCTGCTACTTCCCGGCGGATGTCAGGTGGTGCAATACCAGCTAAGCAGTGTAATTTCTCCAGTGGTGTAGGGCGCAGACACCCCGTGATAATGAGGCATGTCTCATTAAGAGCCACATCCACTGTTTTAGTGTGGTGAGATGTGTTCCACACTGGGCATGCATACTCAGCAGCAGAGTAGCATAGCGCAAGGGCAGATGTCTTCACTGTGTCTGGTTGTGATCCCCAGGTTGTGCCAGTCAGCTTTCGTATGATATTGTTTCTGGCCCACTTTTTGCTTGATGTTCAGGCAGTGCTTCTTGTAGGTCAGAGCACGGTCCAGTGACTCCCAGGTATTTGGGTGCACTGCAATGCTCCAGTGGGATTCCTTCCCAGGTGATCTTCAGAGCTCGGGATGCTTCTCTGTTCTTGAGATGAAAGGCACATGTCTGTGTTTTGGATGGGTTGGGGATCAGCTGGTTTTCCCTGTAATAGGCAGTAAGAGCACCTAGAGCTTCGGAAAGCTTCTGTTCTACCATCTCAAAGCTCCCTGCTTGAGCAGTAATGGCAAGATCATCAGTATAGATGAAGCTCTCCGTCCCTTCTGGCAGTGGCTGGTCATTTGTGTAAATGTTGAACATGGATGGGGCAAGCACGCTCCCCTGAGGTGACTAAAATGATCAAGCCCTATGAGGAGTGGCTTAAAGAGCTGGGCATGTTTAGCCTGCAGAAGAGAAGTCTGAGAGGAGACTTGATGAGGGCCAGGGATCAAGAGGTGAGGGGAAGTCATAGGGAGGAGAGAGCAAACTTGTTGTCTGCTGCCATGGAGACTAGGATGCAATGGAGCAATGGCTTCAAACTACAGGAAAGCAAGGAGATTCCACCTGAATATTACGAATATTCAACAGTGACAAATGCAGGATACTCCACTTAGGCAGAAAAAACAAAATGCAAAGATACAGAATGGGGGACAATGCCTGGCTCGAGAGCAGTACATGTGAAAAAGATCTTGGAGTCCTCATGGACAACAAGGTAAACATGAGCCAACAATGTCATGTAGCTGCAAAAAAGCCAATGGGATTTTGGCCTGCATCAATAGGAGCATAGTGTATAGATCTAGGGAAGTCATGCTCCCCATGCTCTATTCTGCCTTGGTCAGACCACACCTGGAATATTGTGTCCAATTCTGGCACCACAATTCAAGAGAGATATTGACAAGCTGGAATGTGTCCAGAGGAGGGCGACTAAAATGATCCAGGGTCTGGAGAACAAGCCCTATGAGGAGCGGCTTAACGAGCTGGGCATGTTTAGCCTGAAGAAGAGAAGGCTGAGAGGAGATATGATAGCCATGTATAAATATGTGAGAGGAAGCCACAGGGAGCGAGCTTGTTTTCTGCTTCCTTGGAGACTAGGACACAGAACAATATTTTCAAACTACAAGAGAGGAGATTCCATCTGAACATGAGGAAGAACTTCCTGACTGTGAGAGCTGTTCAGCAGTGGAACTCTCTGCCCCAGAGGGTGGTGGAGGCTCCTTCTTTGGAAGCTTTTAAACAGAGGCTGGATGGCCATCTGTCAGGGGTGATTTGAATGCAATATTCCTGCTTCTTGGCAGAATGGGGTTGGGCTGGATGACCCACCAGGTCTTTTCCAACTCTAGGATTCTATGATTCTATGCTATTGTTGCTGTTATTGCTGCTGCTGTTGTTGTTCTCACGTGGTCCCAGTGGTGATCGGCACACTGAGTGCAGTTCCTAAAGACCTTGGCCTGCACTTAAAAGCAATCGATACAGACACAGACAAGCTTACCATCTGTCAGTTGAAAAAGGCCACCCTACTAGAATCTGCACACATAATAATAATAATAATAATAATAATAATAATAATAATAATTATTATTATTATTATTATTATTATTATTATTATTGCAGAATGGGGTCAGACTGGATAGCTTCTGGGGTTTCTATCAAAACCAAGTGGAATATAGACTGCTCGGGAGTCTGGTAGAGTCTCCTTCTCCATGGAGTCTCTTCCAACTCCATGATTCTATGATTCTAAAAAACTGTGGGTTGAGAGAGCATTCAAGCTGAATTGTTCCAACGGTTCACATTTTTGCACTGACCCAGATGCATGTCAAGTGTTTCCCTCCTTGACTCCTCTCTCCTTTTGCCTCCTTAGGAAGTGATGCTCGGCCTATAGTGTCCCCCCGCCGCCTTCCAAGATGCTGCCCGGACTCCCGGAGGCCCTGAGCCGCCTGAGGGCGAACTCGCTCCGCAGCTGCTTCAGCCTGGCCGGGCCGGCCGAATCCACCTTGGTGGCCGTCCCCTTTGAGGTGGACGAGGTCCGCATCCTGAAGGTCTGCTTCTACAGCAACAGCTTCAACATGGGCAAGAACTTCAAGCTGGTCAAGTGCACCGTCCTGACAGAGATCCGGGTGCGTCACTGAGCGATGAGTAACATTTCATAGAACCAAAATTTGGGAGGAGACCTCCAAGGTCCATCCAGGCCAATCCTGTTCTGCAATGGAGGGACACACAGTCAAAACACTCTTGACGAATGACCATCCAGCCTCTGCTCAAAAACCTCCAGAGAAGGAGACTACAATGGACACCCAGGCAACAACAGATCCCACTTTTGAATTGCCCATAACATCATGAAATTTTTCCTAGGGTTTAGTAGATCAAAAGTAGGTTAAAAAGCCAATGTGATCCTAGGCTGCATCAATAGGAGTCTAGTGTTGAGATCAAGGGAAATCATAGTCCCATTCTATTCAGAACACACCTGAAATAATGATGGAATCCAGGCAAAGCAATTAAGGAAGGATACTGAATGTGTCCTGGGAAAGTGACCAAAATGATCCAAAGTTTCAAAGCCAAGCCCTATGTTCCTTAAGCCGCTCCTCATAGGGCTTGTTCTCCAGACCCTTGATCATTTTAGTCGCCCTCCTCTGGACACATTCCAGCTTGTCAATATCTCTCTTGAATTGTGGTGCCCAGAATTGGACACAATATTCCAGGTGTGGTCTAACCAGAGCAGAATAGAGCATGGGGAGCACTACTTCCCTGGACTTAAACACTAGGCTCCTATTGATGCAGGCCAAAATCCCATTGGCTTTTTTTGCCGCCACATGACATTGTTGGCTCATGTTTAACTTGTTGTCCACGAGGACTCCAAGATCTTTTTCACACGTACTGCTCTCGAGCCAGGCATCCCCCATTCTATATCTTTGCATTTCGTTTTTCCTGCCAAAGTGGAGTCTCTTGCATTTGTCACTGTTGAACTTCATTTTGTTAGTTTTGGCCAATCTTCTCTCTAATCTGTCAAGATCGTTTTGAATCCTGCTCCTGTCCTCTGGAGTATTGGCTCTCCCTCCCAATTTGGTGTCGTCTGCAAACTTGATGATCCTGCCTTATAACCCTTCATCTAAGTCATTAATAAAGATGTTGAACAGGACTGAGCTGTTCATTCATGGAATATAAACTTTCTGTGAGTCTGGTGGAGTTTACTTCTCTGGAGCTTTCTAAACAGAGGCTGGATGGCCACCTCTCAGGAGTGCTTGGATTGTGTCTTCCTGCATGGCAGAAACGGGTTGTACTGGTACGACGAGACAGGGTGGGCATTCCCAAGAGGCTGTACACCAAGACCTTGGATATCTCCCCTCTCCCTACATTAAACATATATGTATAAACATGTGAGGAGATGAAGCAATAGGAAGAGAACTCAGTGACTTGTAGTTCACACCTGAAGCACACTATCTCTGTTTCTGTGTCGCCTTTCTTTATATGTGTTTGTTGCATGATGCAATTTTTAGATGTCCGTTTATATTTCTTTAATGTATAACCCGAACCTGGAGTAAATATGTAGCTTCCAAATTCTCCTCACAGGCTACATCAATGTAATCTCCAACTGATTTCCAGCCATGTAACTTTAGTCCTGTAACTTGACACGAGACTTTAATATATACTGTATGTTGAAACAAAGAAATGTTTATTTATGAAGTCTTTGGCACATAAGCTTATCTGTTACAAAGTACTTTACTTCAGTTGCACTTAGATATTATTGCAACTGTCTTTCACTCCTTTGAATACATAAATTTGTTACTATATAACTTTCAAAAGAGTTTAACTTATTTCTACTCTGTTAAACCCTTCAAACTCTAGGATTCTATGAACTTCCTCCCATCTTCTATATCACATCCATTTTGATATTTAAAGCCGCATCTACTGCATTATATGGCAGTGTCAATGGGGCCCATGACATCATAATTGTGGGTGTCCTTATTTTGGGGTAGGAGCACTTTCTCCCTCCTTCCTTCTGTCCTACCTGTCCTGACCTCACCTGGTTTCTCCCATTGGCAGGAGGTCATCCAGTCCATCTTGCAGAGTGGGCGTATCGGCCCCGATATTCAGCTCTCCGAATGCTACGCTTTGCGCCTGAAGCACGTGAAGTCGGACGAGATCCACTGGCTGCACCCAGACATGACGGTGGGCGAGGTCCAGGAGAAATACGAATGTTTGCACATCGAAGCCGAATGGAGGTAGGAACACTAGTGCAACTTTTTGTGTTGCATATATATATATATATATATATATATATATATATATATATATACAGCTAAACCGACCAACAGTGTGGGCCTAGGTTCTTGTGGATTTTTTCGGGCTATAGGGCCATGTTCTAGAGGCATTTCTCCTGACGTTTTGCCTGCATCTATGGCAAGTATCCTCAGAGGTAGTGAGGTCAGTTGGAAATAGGAAAATGGGTTTATATATCTGTGGAATGACTGGGGTGGGTCAATATACCACAAGCATGTGGACAATTTCAACAGAAAGGAGGAGACCATGAAAATGAACAAAATCTGGCTACCAGTATTAAAAAACTCTAAAATTACTACAGCAAAACAGCAGAGAGGAAACAACCAGGCACATCTTAACACCTCTCAACAAAACATTTTCCCAGGCTCAGCCAGGCCTTCAAATGCTAATGAAGGTGGTCAGTTGAAACATTCACACCTAGCTCCAGCAGAGAAGAGCTCTTTGTCCCACCCCAGCCATTCCACAGATATATAAACCCATTGTCCTAATTCCAACAGACCTCACTACCTCTGAGGATGCTTGCCATAGATGCAGGCAAAACATCAGGAGAAATGCCTCTAGAACATGGCCCTATAGCCTGAAAAAACCCACAAGAACCTAGTGATTCCAGCCATGAAAGCCTTCGACAATACAGTGTGGGCCTATTTGTAACTTTTAGCCCACCTAACAGGAAAAGCAAGATGCTAGGACTATGGTGGAGTTCAGAATGCTCTTTGAAAGTTGGTGAACTATAAATCCCAGCAACTGCAACTCCCAAATGACAAAATCAATCCCCGCCAACCCCACTAGTCAGGCATGTAGCCGGGGGGGGGGGGGGGCGGGGTTGGGGGGCTTCAGCCCCCCCAAATTCTCATGGTGGTTCGCGAAAAGGCCTTACTGGTGCATTATTTAAACTGTTATGATTATTCATATCATGATCTGATCACCATACTCAATATATCCCATATGCATGGGGGTATTGGGGTAATGATACAAAAGGTTTGCTAGGCTAGACCCTCTTTCACTCAGACTCAGCCCCCCCCCCCACAACTCAGCCCTCCCCCCCCCCCCCCCCCCCCCCCCCACCCCCCCCGAAACGAAATCCTGGCTACGGGCCTGCCACTAGTATTCAGATTTGGGTGTATTGGGTATTTGTTTCGGGTTCAGTGAATAAAAATACATCTTGCCTATCAGATATTTACATTAGGATTCATAACAGTAGCAAAATTACAGTTATGAAGTAGCAACGAAAATACTGTTATGGTTGGGGGTCAGCACAACATCAGGAAGGTTGAGAAATACTGCTTTAAAGAATGTAACCAAAGCTCTAGCTCTTATGGTTGCAACCAACAACAAGGACAAAAAACCTCACACACATCTACACTGTGGAATAAATCCATTTTGACATCACTTTAACTGTCAATTTTCAATTCTGTGGAATCCTGGACGCTGCATTTTGACAAGGTCTTTTGGTTTTCTTTCCAAAGAATTCTGCTTCCTCACCTACAAATCCCAGGATTTGGTAAGATGGACTCAGGACATTTAAACAGCACTAATTCCACAGTGTAGAGACACACCTTGAGTAAATCTTGGAAAATAGCATTTCCTCTTTCCAATCCTGAATGCAACTTGTTTTCCTGAAGGTACGACTTGCAGATCCGTTACCTTCCCGAAGACTACATGGAGCGTTTCCTGGAGGATCGGACGACTCTCCTGTACTTCTACCAGCAGGTAGGAATATTCTGGGATGGTTGTCACCCCAAAATGGTTATTTAAGCTCTTTATCCCTTCTGCTGTGTAGCCACATGCAACCTCGTCGATCAGTTTTGGGACTGTGGTCTTCCTAGTGCATACAAAGCATTCATATCTCTGGGTTGTTGTAGGTTTTTTCAGGCTATATGGCCATGTTCTAAAGGCATTCTCTCCTGACGTTTCGCCTGCATCTATGGCAAGCATCCTCAGAGGTAGTGAGGTCTGTTGGAAGGAAAATGGGTTTATATATCTGTGGAATGACCAGGGTGGGACAAAGGACTCTTGTCTGCAGGAGCTAGGTGTGAATGTTTCAACTGACCACCTTGATTAGCATTATTCGGGCAGTGCCTGAACAAAAGATTGCTCCAGGCACTGCCAGGCAATCAAATGCTAATCAAGGTGGTCAGTTGAAACATTCACACCTAGCTCCAGCAGACGAGAGTCCTTTGTCCCACCCTGGTCATTCCACAGATATATAAACCCATTTTCCTAGTTCCAACAGACCTCACTACCTCTGAGGATGCTTGCCATAGATGCAGGCGAAATGTCAGGAGAGAATGCCTTTAGAACATGGCCATATAGCCAGAAAAAACCTACAACAACCCAGTGATTCCGGCCATGAAAGCTTTCAAAAATACATTCATATCTCCTTAGAAAACCAATGCTTTTCCTCTAAAGCAGGCTTAGGCAAACTTTGGCCCTCCCAGTGTTTTGGACTCCAACTCCCACAATTCCTAACAACCAATTGTGGGAGTTGGCACACAGGCCAAATCCAATGCTTCTGTTAAGGTTGTGATGATTGCTATTATTCCTGCTTGTCTTTGTTTGGTTGGACCATAGCTAGGAAAAGATGGCTGTCTTCTGTTCAAAGTAGAGCTTGGGAACGTTAGCAGCTCAAGAAATATTTGTTAATCTAGTAGTTTGTTTCGAATGGCGTGGGTTAGCTCAGCTGTGGTTGATATTTAATGCAATTTCTGAGTCTCAGATTTCACCTTTGAAATCCTCAAGGCATGGGAGTTGTAGTTTGACAAGGGCCTTTGCCTTCCATGTTAAAGAGTGCTTTGTATCTTACCAAACGACATCACTACCTCTGAGGATGCTTGCCATAGATGCAGGCAAAACGTCAGGAGAGAATGCCTCTAGACCATAGCCAGATAGCCCGAAAAAACCTACAACAACCCAACAACAACAACAACAACAACTATTATTATTATTATTATTATTATTATTATTATTATTATTATTATCCTTCTTATCTATATATGTTTTTTTTTTCCTTTCCAGCTCCGGACAGAATATATGCAGCGTTATGCCAGCAAAGTCAGTGAAGGGATGGCTCTCCAGCTCGGCTGCCTGGAGCTCAGGTACGTTCCAGGTGCCAGCAAGGCTTCTCAGTTCAGGGAAGTCTTGCTCCCAATGCTCTATTCCGCTTTGGTTAGACCACACCTGGAATATAGTGTCCAATTCTGGGCACCACAATTCAAGAGAGATATTGACAAGCTGGAATGTGTCCAGGGGAGGGCAACTAAAATGATCAAGGGTCTGGAGAACAAGCCCTATGAGGAGCAGCTTAAGGAGCTGGGCATGTTTAGCCTGAAGAAGAGAAGGCTGAGAGGAGATATGATAGCCATGTATAAATATGTGAGAGGAAGCCACAGGGAGGAGGGAGCGAACTTGTTTTCTGCTTCCCTGGAGACTAGGACGCAGAACAATGGCTTTTGAACTACAAGAGAGGAGATTCCACCTGAACATGAGGAAGAACTTCCTGACTGTGAGAGCTGTTCAGCAGTGGAACTCTCTGCCCCGGAGTGTGGTGGAAGCTCCTTGTTTGGAAGCTTTGAAACAGAGGCTGGATGGCCATCTGTCAGGGGTGATTTGAATGCAATATTCCTGCTTCTTGGCAGAATGGGGTTGGACTGGATGGCCCATGAGGTCTCTTCCAACTCTTTGATTCCATGATTCTATGATACACCCTGAGTGAAGAAATACATAATTAGCCCACGTTCCTCTCTTGTCTGCCATGCAGTCTCAGGTTTGCTGTACTTTTCACAAACTCACAACCTGTGAGGATGCCTGTCATAGATGTGGGTGAAACGTCCAGAGAGAATGCTTCTGGAACAGGGCCAGATAGCCCAGAAAACTCACAGCAACCTATTTCACACACTTTGGTTGTGTTTTGTTTGATTTTGCAGGAGATTCTACAAGGACATGCCCCAGAATGCCCTGGACAAGAAGTCCAACTTCGAATTCTTAGAGTATGTAGACAAAAATGTGCTCTTCTGTTCCTTTTTGGGTCTGTCTTACCCTTTCTCCTCCTCATTCTGGATGCATCTATTTATGCAGTTTGACACCACTTGAAACTGCCATGGCTCAGGACTATACAGTCCTGGGAGTTGTAGTTTTACAACATCTTGCACCTTTTTTACTCAGACATGCTTGCGCCCTCCCCAAACTCCATTATTCCATTGCATTAAGCCATAGCAGTCAAAGTGGTGTCAAACTGCATTCATTCTGTAGTATAGATGCACCCGGTATCCTCTTGTAGCTGATCCACTTTTTATCAATGCATCCACTCTGGTGAAACCTGCCTCTGGTTTCTCTTTTTAGGAAGGAGGTCGGACTGGATCTCTTCTTCCCCAAACAGATGCAGGACAACCTGAAGGTGAGTGATGAGATGGTCCAGATCACACAGGATCAAATTTCACCAAATCTGTGGAATGTTGGGATTTGTAGTGTGGCGAGTGGAACTTGACAACGAGTGCATTTACATTGAAGAATGGATGTATTTTGACAACACTTTAACTGCTATGGTTCAATGATATGGAATTGTGGGAATTGTAGTTTGATAAGGCACTAGCGCTTTTTAGCAGTGGAGGCTGTTCTGTCTTGCGCTGGGCCTGTAACAGCTGTACTTTTTCTATAGGACGTATACTTTAAGCCCAGCGGGAAGGCAGGTCGCCTCAAAGAGAGGTTCTCGGGGATTTTTCTGAAGTGATGGTCTTTAGAGTCTTTGATAATACAACAAAATCTTTATTATGGAACAAACAACAAATCTTCAATGGTTCAAACTACACTTCAAGGCTTTCTTAGTCTAGTCCTCAATGGACTGGTACCTGACTTTGATTAACTAAACTTTCTCTGTAGGAAAAACCAATTTTAACCTCTCCCAGGCTGCTTTCTATCTATGCCTCATCGGTGTGGGACCTACTACCGACTCCAAATGCATCTGGGTATCGAGTAGACCTACCAGCCGAGGCTTGAAGATATTTCAGCTGGAGTTCGGTGGATCTGTAGTGCTGTCCTCCCTTCAAGAATTCCTAGAAACTTCAGGGCTGTTCCCTCTGTTGCTGTGAGGCTGAGAGGCTGTGAGCTCTCAGCCAGAGCTTTTGGGACCTTTCTCCTGGAATTTCTGCTTCTGTATCCCCTGATGTTATTTTCCCCTGGGTGCTTCTTTTTCCCTGGATGGTTAACGAGAAAGGAAGCTTTTCTACGGGACGAGCTGGTCTACATCTTATAGCTTAGCTACCTTGTGTGAGACTGCCCAAAAAATGGCTCCTTTCCCTCCCAGAGCCCTGAACAAGAGGCAGAACCAAAGCTTAATTATGATGGACAAGAGGCCTGTCCTATGACTGCAAAACAGATAACAGAAAGAAAATAAAGTTGGAGCTCCTGGTACAGCTGTACTAGCACAGAGGCTAAAGTCCTTGTAAAACTACATTTCCCAATCTCCCCATGGCAGTTAAGATGCTGTCAAAATGCATCCATTCTACAATGTCGAAGGATCCTTGGATTCCTGGCTGAGCCCCTTAATCTCTTTTTTCTACTTTCTGGCCCATCTCCAGCCGAAACAGTTCCGGAAAATGATCCAGCAGACCTTCCAGCAATATGCGGCTCTTCGGGAGGAAGAATGCATCATGAAATTCCTCGGCACCCTCTCCACTTTTGCCGACATCGACCAGGAAAGCTACCGCTGTGAGCTGATTGTGAGTATTCAAAGTTGGAGACTGTTGTTGAAGGCTGGTGTTGGAGTTCAGCCTGTGATTGTGTTTCAGGATCGGGGTGCTTTTGATGTGGGAAGTGATGCCAATGAATTTCAAGATGGCAATGGTTTGGTCAATGATACTGATGCAGAGAAGGACCAGGAGACCCCTGTGCAAAGTGTAGTTTCCTATGAGAATGTCCCTGAAGGGTGTGGGGATGATCGTGTACTCCCTGAATTGCTACCAGAGAGTTCCCAGGATTTGGGCCTTGAAAACAACTAGGCACCTGGCCCAGCTGCAAGACTTAATGAGCAAATATATAGGCGGCAGGAGATTAGTCCAAACAGGCAGACCAAACAACGGCTTCAGCGTTCTGACAGGATCCGACAGAAAAAGATAAGGGAATCTCAATTAAAACAAAACCAATTTCTGAGTATTTGGAATAGTTTAACAAGGGGATAAAAGTTCCAAGTATGGGAAATATAGTCAGATGAAGCATCGTTTGGAATCAAGTGAAGTTCTCATTCTTGTTTCATGGAAACCTTGCTGGGAAGATTCTTGTGTAAGTATTTCTTGTTCATGGTTTGAATTCTTGGATTGTATGAATGCCTACTCATGCCTTGGATTAATGTTTCCTGGTTTCCTGAATTATATTAGAGAAGTGTGGACTTTGTTTTTATGGACTTTGCTGGACTTTACCCTGGACTATTTTTGCTCCTGCTTATCTTCTTACCTAATTGGATTTACCTATTTTTTTAAAGTGCTTTTTTTACTTGCTGCTTTTTAATTATCTTCAATAAAGGAATTGTTTCCCAATCAACGGTGTGGTGTTTACAGCCAGAGGGCTTTTCCTGTCCTGGAGTGCAATCACTGGGTTGCTGTGAGTTCTCCGGGCTGTCTGGCCATGTTCCAGAAGCATTCTCTCCTGACGTTTCGCCCATATCTATGGCAGGCATCCTCAGAGGTTGACGGGTTAGCTGGAAACTAGACAACGTGGGATTTATATATCTGTAGAATGTCTAGGGTGGGAGAAATAACTCTTGTCTGCTTGAGGCAAGTGTGAATGTTGCAAACGGCCACCTTGATTAGCATTTAATGGCCTTGTAGCTTCAAAGCCTGGCTGGCTGCAGACAAGAGTTCTTCTCCCACCCTGATCATTCCAGAGAGATATAAATCTCACTTGCCTAGTTTCCAACAGACCCCTCAACATCTGAGAGAATGCTGCTGGAACATGGTCATACAGCCTGGGAAACTCACAGCAACCCATTGGAGACTGTTCTTACAGATGGTGTCTTGGTTGTTGTAGTCGTCTGAGTGAAGGACTAGGACTCTGGAGATGAGGGTTTGAATTCCTGCTCATCCCATGAAAAGCCTGTGTGTGTGTTCATAGTGACTCTGTGGGATATGTTTGCTTTGCAGTCAATATATGTGTGTGTCATTTTCAGCTGAGATGACTGCAATGTTTTTTTCTCTCTTTTCAGCAAGGGTGGAACATCACAGTGGATCTGGTGATCGGCCCCAAAGGCATCCGGCAAATGACCAGTAAAGAGTCAAAGGTAAACTGATGAGACTGGGAGGGGAAGGCATTTTCATTTTTAATAAGGAAGCTTGGATTTAATGGTGAAACCAGCGAAGCCGCAACAACAAAGACGTTCCATGTTCCTTGCGGTTGGCGATGGCTCCTTTTCTGGATGGGATGGTCACATTTGCTCAGCTCTGTCCAATGACAGAGTCAGAAAATCCTAGAGGTGGAAGGGACCCCAAGGACCCTCCAGCCCAACCCCTTTTGGCTTTATGCAGGAAGACACTATCTGATCCCTCCCAACAGATGGCCAACCAGCCTCTGCTTTAAAACCTCCAGAGGAGTAGACTCCATTCATTCCTTGACCTGCCTTTTATATTTATTTATCGTGTCATCCGCAACCAGAACATTGTATTACATTTCTAACAGAACAAAACAAACAAACAGATAAGAAAAAACCACAAATTTTGCAAACTTGGTAGTTGATGAAATGTCCTTTGACCAGTATCTGGCCACTTGGAGTGATTCTGGTGTTGGTGCAAGAAGGTCCTCTACTGTGCATGTGGCAGGGCTCAGGGTGCATTGCAGCAGGTGGTCAGTGGTTTGCTCTTCTCCACACTCGCATGTCGTGGATTCCACTTTGTGGCCCAATTTCCTAAGGTTGGCTCTGCATCTTGTGGTGCCAGAGCGCAGTCTGTTCAGTGCCTTCCAAGTCGCTCAGTTTTCTGTGTGCCCAAGGGGGAGTCTCTCATCTGGTATCACCCACGGATTGAGGTGCTGGGTTTGAGCCTGCCACTTTTGAACTCTCGCTTGCTAAGGTGTTCCAGCGAGTGTCTTGGTAGATCTAAGAAAACTATGTCTTGATTTAAGTCATTGATGTGCTGGCTGATACCCAAACAGGGGATGAGCTGGAGATGTCTCTGCCTTGGTCCTTTCACTGTTGGCTGCAACTTCCCGGCGGATGTCAGGTGGTGCAATACCGGCTAATACCGCCTTTTATAGATACTGGTGTTGTTGTGGAATCCCATGATATGTGGACTCTACATTTCTCCTCCCTCCCTCCCATCCAAATGCAAAGCCTTACTTGTGCATTTCTGATCCTTCGCAGCCCACCTGCCTGGCCGAGTTCAAGCAAATCCGATCCATCAAATGCACACCTGCGGAAGAAGGGAGAGCCATTTTGCAGCTCAGCCTCACTGGGAACCCTCAGGTAAGGCGGAAACTCAAGCGACACCCTTCTTTGATTTCAAGGGGGCTCCTACAGAACTTGAAGAAGTTACTCCTCCAAATCAGAAATCATCCGGGCGTCCCCTGGGCAACGTCCTTGCAGATGGCCAATTCTCTCACAACAGGAGCGGTTGCTCCTGACACGACAAAAAAATATTATTTATTTATTAATTATTTAAAACATTTATATTCCGCCCTTCTCACCTCAAAGGGGACTCAGCATACAAACGGCAAACATTCAGTGCTGGGATATGAATTCATTATATGCATACATAAACATTAAAAACATTTATCTCAACATTAAAATACACTGTTTAAAACAATCTCGTTGTTAGGAATTGTGGGAGTTGAAGTCCAAAACACCTGGAGGGCCCAAGTTTACCCATTCCTGTTCTATAGCATGCAACAGTTAAAGTGGAATGTATTGTCGAAGGCTTTCATGGCCAGAATCACTGGGTTGTTGTAGGTTTTTCTGGGCCATGTTCTGGAGGCCGTTTTTCTCCTGACGTTTCGCCTGCATCTATGGCAAGCACTGCAAGGCACTGCAAACTACTCCAACCAGAGAAATCAGCCATAGCAGAGCACCTGATGAACCAACCTGGACACAGCATATTATTTGAGAACACAGAAATGCTGGACCACTCCCACAACCACCATGTCAGACTACACAGATAAGCCATTGAAATCCACAAGAAGCATGTGGACAATTTCAACAGAAAGGAAGAGACCATGAAAATGAACAAAATCTGGCTCCCAGTATTAAAAAACTCAAAAATTACAACAGCAAAACAACAGAGGGGGAAAAAACAGGCATATAAAATCACTCTCAACAAAAGATTCCCCCCAGGCACTTCCAAGCCATTGAATGCTAATCAAGGTGATCAGCTGAAACATTCCCCAGCAGACAAAAGTCCTTTGTCTCACCCTGGTCATTCCACAGATATATAAACCCATTTTTCCTACTTCCAACAGACCTCACTACCTCTGAGGATGCTTGCCATAGATGCAGGTGAAACGTCAGGAGAAAAATTGCCTCCAGAACATGGCCATATAACCCGGAAAAGCCTACAACAACCCAGTTAAAGTGGAGTTATGGTGCTATAACTGCTTAGGACTGCAGTGTAGATGAACCCAAGGTCAGCATTGTGCACCATTGTTTAACCTCTCTTCCAAAGAGTTCTGGGAATCTTACCAAACTACAACTCCCATATTTCCATTGTTATAACAACTCCTTAACTATAACTCTTGCCAAAGCCCAGGATGATAGATTGGAGAGAAAGCATGGAAATGCAAATATTTATCCTTATAAGGCAGACATGTTGTGTTGCAGGAAGGGATGTTCTTTCATCTCTGCAAGTGGATGAGAAATATGATATTTCCTCCCCTCTCTTTCTTTCTTTGCAGTCCTTGACCATCAAAACGTACTCCCTGGCCGAGGCAGAGAACATGGCTGACTTGATTGACGGCTACTGCAGGTTGCAAGGGGGCTTGGATGGGTCCCTCATTGTCCGCCCCAACAGAGGTGAGGATGTGGGGTGTGTGGGTCAGGTAAAGCACATGTGGCCAACAGGCTGGAGGCTTCCCATCTTTGGCTCCAGTTCACCAAAGCCACTTTGCATCAGAACATCTGTAAATGCTGTGGCTGGAAGCTGTAGTCTGGTAACGTCTGGCACGAGGAATGCTGGGAGTTGTGGGTCAGGAACATCTGGATGGCCTGTAGCGGCAAATGCTGGGAGACAGAGTTCCAGAATTCCTTTCGAAAATGTTTCTGGGCTCCATCTAACGTTAGCCACTTTCGGTCTCCTTAAGGGCTTGGAAAATGGAAAACCCCATAACCTTTTGGAGGTGTTATGATCTATGGAAAGGCATGACCTTGTTAGAAGTCTCAATCTTTTGAAAAATGATGTTATAACATCTTGATAAAAGCATGACCTGTTGGAGTCATAACCTTTTGGGGAAATGGCATTCACCAGCATTCATGCAAGGCCACTAGGTTTCTCGGCTGTTAAACAGATGTATCTAGCTATGTCTTTGAACTGTCAGGGACAAAGATATGCCAGTGCACAAAACACATACGTATTCAAGAGAGATATTGACAAGCTGGAATGTGTCCAGAGGAGGGTGACTAAAATGATCAAGGGTCTGGAGAACAAGCCCTATGAGGAGCGGCTTAAGGAGCTGGGCATGTTTAGCCTGAAGAAGAGAAGGCTGAGAGGGGATATGATAGCCATGTATAAATATGTGAGAGGAAGCCACAGGGAGGAGGAGGGAGCAAGCTTGTTCTCTGCTTCCCTGCAGACAAGGAACAAGGAACAATGGCTTCAAACTACAAGAGAGGAGATTCCACCTGAACATGAGGAAGAACTTCCTGACTGTGAGAGCCGTTCAGCAGTGGAACTCTCTGCCCCGGAGCGTGGTGGAGGCTCCTTCTTTGGAAGCTTTTAAACAGAGGCTGGATGGCCATCTGTCAGGGGTGATTTGAATGCAATATTCCTGCTTCTTGGCAGAATGGGGTTGGACTGGATGGCCCATGAGGTCTCTTCCAACTCTTTGATTCTCTGATTCTATGATTCTATGCTGGGCTGCAACTCCTGTATTCTTCATCATGAGACATCATGACTATAGCTGATGGGAGTTGCGATACAGTAGCATCTGTTCTGATTAGTCAGAAGAGTGGGGTTTGGGTTGAGATACAAGGCTTGTGGATATGGTGTCTTAAAATGCCTTATAACCTTTCCCCAACCTCAGAGCCACAAGTGCTGTTGGGTTGCCATTCCCATTATCCCCAGTCCGCAGAATGGATAATCCAAAGGGATGGGAATTGCTGTTCAAATTGGGTAAAAAATAAAGAGTGCCAATTACTATGTATAAAATTAATAGTTAAGCCTCTGTATTTATTGATTGATTGATTTGCAGTATTTATATACCAGTGGGTTGTTGTAGGTTTTTCCGGGCTATATGGCCATGTTCTAGAGGCATTTTCTCCTGACGTTTTGCCTGCATCTATGGCAAGCATCCTCAGAGGTAGTGAGGTAGTGAGACCTCACTACCTCTGAGGATGTTTGCCATAGATGCAGACTAAATGTCAGGAGAAAATACCTCTAGAACATGGCCATATAGCCCGGAAAAACCTACAACAACCCAGTGATTCCGGCCATGAAAGCCTTGAACAATACATTTATATAGCACTTTTCTCACTCAAAGCAAATTAAATGCCTTACATACGTAAACCAAATCATAAATCCGCACCATATAACTAAGCATAACATCAAAGAAAAAAGACATTTAAAACATGAAATATAAGAATTAAAACACACAAACTACATTAATGGATGGTGTGCATAGACACGGATTCTCCATCCATTGGTTCAATGGCCCTTTGGAAGCAATCATAAGGTTGATGTGGCCCTCCATGAAAATGAGTTTGACACCCCTGATCTACACTGTAGAATGAATGCAGTTTGACACCACTTTGACTGTCATGGCTCAATGCTATGGGATCCTGAGGTTTTGCATCACCACAACACCCAGGATTTCATAGCTCTGAGCCATGACAGTCAAGGTGGGGCCAAACTGCATTCATTCTTCACTTCACTTCACTTCACTTTATTTCTTAATTAGTCGCTCTCCACCAAGGTGCTCCGAGCGACTTACAATCCAAAATAGCATTTACACAATATAAAAACATTCAACATAAAAACATTCAACAGTGACTATTTGGCAAATTAGATCTGATTACTTAAATGCACAACCAAACAGCCAAGTCTTGAGTGCCTTTACAAAAGGTCGCAACTCCGACATTGCTCTAATGTATGGAGGCAATGAGTTCCACAGAATTGGAGCATAGGTCGAAAAAGCTCTACGATGCCTTGTAGCTTCCATGTGTACGTCCCTAGGGCCCGGTATGTAGAGGAGATGTTCCTGGGTGGATCGAGGTGACCACTGATGGAGAAAAGGAATGAGGCGGTCCCTAAGATATAAAGGTCCTTGACCATTTTGAGCCCTAAATGTCAGGATCAGTGTGGATGTACTTAAGAGTATGAGGGAATGTATCTCTAGCTATTTGAAGTCTAGGAGAAATCAGAAATAGGCCAGAGTTATGTCAGAAAAAAAGGAGCTTAGGCCTTGGGTTGTGAGATTCCTGTCATGCTTTTTCCTCTTTGCAGAGAACGAAAAGCGGGTCAGCCTGCCTCAGGTCCCAGTCCAGTAAGTAAAGGGGCAAAGTCACCCCAAAATCTGTTCTATATGGATTCTTCATTCCTCGTTTATCTGAATCCCACCTCTGTTTTGCTTCCTTCATTGTTCCAAGGTGGATTGTGAAACTTTGTATAAGCATCCTCCACTTTTCTGAAGTTGTAGAAAAGTGATCAAGTGGGCAAACAAAGTTCAAAAGTACAGAACGTATCTATAACATTATGTAACACAATGTGAAAATTGTTGTTTCTAGTTTGAAAGTACTTTGGTACTTACTTTGAAAGTAGTTGTTCTACAGTGGAGCTGGAGCACCTGAGGTCAGCGCCCTTCGAGGCTGGGGGCCAGGAAAGCTTGGTCTGCTTTTCTGTCTGTCTGCCTGCCTGCATTCCTTCCCCGGAGCCTCTGCTCTTGTTGAAAACTGCTGGCTGAGCTAAATCACCTCAACTGAATCGAGTAGGAAAGAGCGCCCCTCAGGGATTGGCACTCTACTCAAATGCATAATTTGCCTATTGGTTCAGCCGCCCCTGGTTCTACTCCAGAAACGTTATTTTTGACCCAAAAACTAGATTGAATTGATTGGCCTATTGATTGAAAAACTATAATAAATAATAATGCATCTACAGTGTAGTGTAATGTTAATGCAGTTTGGCACCACTTGAATTGCAAGACTCAGTGCTATGGAATAGTGGGAGTTGTTGTTTTTTCATGTCTTTAGCCTTATCTGCCAAAGAATACTGGCACCTCATCAAACTACAAATCCCAGAAACCCATAGCATTGAGCCATAACATGTCAATTAAATCTCACATTAATTCTGCAATGTAGATGCCCCCAAGGAGATGTTTGCATCTATATTTATATTTTCCTCTATCTCCCCGAGGGGACTCAGAGTAGATTACAACATACACAGAGATGCAAACTTTCAATGCCTTTAATACAGCAGAATCACAATAACATACACACATGCAGAACAAAGGTAAAGACTTCTCCTTTCATTTGGCTTTCTGGAGACGGTGCTCAACTCTGGCCATGGAGAGGTGCTCTTGTACCATTTCCAAGGAGCCTGTTGTCCATAAACACATCCTGGTTGTGTTGCCTACATGGTTGCATGGATACCTTTATTACCTTCCTGCCGAAGTAGTACCTATTCATCTTTTTTTCAAACTGCTAGGTTGGCAGGAACTAGGGCTAACAGTGGGAGCTCACCTTGACCTACAGCTTTGAACTGCCAACCTTTAAGTCAGCAGATTCAAGCAGATACTCTGCCCCGAAGTGTGGTGGAGGCTCCTTCTTTGGATGCTTTTAAACAAAGGCTGGATGGCCATCTTGTCAGGGGTGCTTTGAATGCAATTTTCCTGCTTCTTGGCAGAATGGGGTTGGACTGGATGGCCCATGAGGTCTCTTCCAACTCTTCTATGATTCTATGAACAGTTCCACAGTTGTGCCACTGTGCCACGTATAGCAAAATGTGCTGCAGGATGTCCCACAAAAAGCAACGTTTTTGCAACTTCATCAACTTTTCCCATGTTTCTTTTTATGATAGAACCAATTAGGAAATGACATCTATAACCCAGGAACAAAAATTGTGTTGCATAGTGTAATGGTGATCTGTTTCAACAGATCTAAATTATAGCTATGTTCCTCACCATAGACCCAAGGTTTGCTCCTTTGACCATTGCTGCTGCTGTTTTTTCTCAGTTGTCTTATCGCCATCTAGTGTTTATTCTTGCACTATTCTTGCATCTGCTTTTAAACCAATAACATTTTCCAATAGTGGTGAAGTGAGTCCTCAACTTATTAGATAAATGGAATTTTCCTTTATTTGCATGGCACTGTTAGAGCATATTGATTGCACTTTGACCCCAACAGTTCTAACATGTTTACTCACTAGCTTGTAGTCCAACAAGTAACCATTCCAAACTATTTTTGTGCCTTTTTCTATACCCAGGCATATAGAAGAGAGGCGATCAACCCTGAAAGAGAGTTTTAGCGGAGGTAAGATGGATCCTCCTTTTCCTCCAGTCATTGAGGACTAGCCACATGAACTGTGAACTGGACAGAATCATAGCATTTTTGTTCAATCTTGGAGTGCATCTACACCAGTGGTTCTCAACCTTCCTAATGCCGCGACCCCTTAATGCAGTTCCTCATGTTGTGGTGACCCCCAACCATAACACTATTTTTGTTGCGACTTCATAACTGTAATTTTGCTACTGTTATGAATCATAATGTCAATATCTGATATGCAGGATGTATTTTCATTCACTGGACCAAATTTGGCACAAATACCTGATACGCCCAAATTTAAATACTGGTGAGGTGTGTGTGTGGGGGGGGGGGGGTTGATTTTATCATTTAGGAGTTGTAGTTCCTTTGATTTATAGTTCACCTACAATCAAAGACCATTCTGAACTCCACCAATGATGGCACATAGAACTCCCATGACCAACAAAAATTACTGGAAATTGACCTTGAGTTTGAGAGTTGTAGTTCACCTACATCCAGAGAGCACTGTGAACTGAAACAATGATGTATCTGGACCAAACTTGGCATGAATACTCAATATACCAAAATCTGAACATTGGTGGAGTTTGGGGGAAATAGACCTTGACATTTGGGAGTCGTAGTTGCTGGGATTTATAGATCACTTACAATCAAAGAGCATTCTGAACTCCACCAATGATGCAATTGAACCAGACTAGGCACACATAACTCTCATGACCAACAGAAAATATTGGGTTTGGTGGGCATTGACCTCGGTTTTTGGACTTGTAGTTCACCTACATCCAGAGAGCGCTGTGGACTCACACAATGATGGATCTGGACCAAACTTGGCACGGATATGCAATATGCCCAAATGTGAACACTGGTTAGGGAAAATAGACCATATCATTTGGGAGTTGCAATTGCTGGGATTTATAGTTCACCTAAAATCAAAGAGCATTCTGAACCCCACTAACAGCAGAATTGGACCAAACTTCCCACATAGGACCCCCATGACCAACAGAAAATACTGTGTTACGTGATGGTCTTTGGTGACCCCACTGACACCCCCTCGTGACCCCCCCAGGGGTCCCGACCCCCAGGTTGAGAAACACTGATCTACACTGTAACAGTTATCAGTTCAAATTTGCTGGCCAAATTGCTTCTTATCCAGTTAACTGACTTCAGACACAGTTGTTTCTGCTTCAGTAGCAGCTCTAATCTTTATTTACATTTCATTCATTATAATAACACTTACTCATTAGTATGGTGAGATGCAAGGGAGAAGAGCCAAGAGAAAGAAAAAAATGTGTCTGTATATTTATACCTCAGTGTTATCAGCTCATTAATTCAGTGTCCAGCCTCCTAGTCTATTGAAATATCATCCTTGTCTGTTCCACACATGCTTCATAATGTTCCACAACTTAACTCTTTCACAGCTAGCAGCATGGAGATTTTAAACTTATACAATATATATTGACATTACACTGATACAGTTATGCAGTTAAACTGCTATATAATCCAGTTTTTGAATCCAGATTATCTGTTTTGAACTGGAATATATGGCAGTGTATAGAATCAGTTCAAAGCAGTTAATCTGGATTCAGAAACTGGGTTATATGGCAGTGTTGATCCAGCCTATATCTGCTTCTATTTTTGAAACATATCATTCGCAAGACTTTCCTCTTAATGGAGCTGTGAGATTTATTTAAGTTGGTCATGCCATCAGAAAGCTTGCCACCTGAATCGTATATCATGGCCTTCTTTAGCAGCATTTTTGAAACAGTTATTTTTGAAATTCAGCGGGTGTTTTGTTTCAGATTCTGACATTTACGCTGAGATTCCTGACGAAGCATCCAGGCCCAAATCTGGAGGTAGGTCCAGCTGCTGCCTTTTTTGTATTGAAATATAGGCATCTCTCCAACTTTACTGGAGTTAGGGGTGTCAAACCGCCCCAAAAGTTGTAACAACTCAAATAAAAAAATACTTTTTAATAAATTGACAAAGTACCTCCTTAGGAAGCTCTAGATCCTCCAGTATAACTCTGTGACCAACTTCCAATAGAATTGTTCTGACCTACAAATGCCCAGAGACAACATGCATTTTTGTTCTTGTATCAGGCAGCAACAAAGATGATAGCAAATACATCAGTGAATAGCCAATGTCTCAAATGCCTTAGTCCACCAACAAATGTGGAGGAATGACTATAAGTTACTTAGTTAATTAAGTAACTTTTTTCTAGTCTTGTAATCCCCACCCCCAACTTAGCAGAAATGTCATTCAACTGGATTCCAGTTACTGGGAGAATGGAGCAGATGTCACAGGAAATTCAATGTGCAGATTTGATAAATGTAAAATTAATATCATGCGTGGGAATGAATGGAAGAATGGAAGGATATATGGGGCTAATAATTTTGGAAGCATCAGTATAATATTGAGGCCTGCAATGACTAAACTTGCTTGCTGGACTGTAATTAAAAGTTGCTAATGAGAACTGAAAAGTAAACTCTGATAAGGACTATGACAATGATCCTGTTGGGGATTCCTCATCTTCAGAAGAGGAAGCGGAGCAGGGAAGTGCTCAGGAATTGGAGGGAGAAGAAGAATCAGACGTTGAGGGGTTGAAAGTGCCCACATTTCTAGAGAGATGAAAAGAGACAAAGCACAGACAGTGTTCAGCCAGAATAGCTGCTAAAAATGCTGAGCTAATTGGGAGATGCCCTAGCACCTCCTGCGTGGAGAATTCAGGGCTATAAATCAGAGGCAGGAGCAGTCAGCTTTTGCTGGTAACAACGAACCTGATACTGATGTTTCCACTCCAATGGAATCTACTTTGTGTCTGCTGCTAAGGACTTAGTTCATTGCCCATTGTCTGATGGAAGACAGGTGTTTTGTTTGGGACGTTGCAAGAGATTTTAATTTGTGTCTGAATTGAGACTTTCTTGCTTTCTTTTGCACTTTTCAATTGCATTTGCTTATCCTTTGTGTTTGCTAAAGTAAAGCATTTTTTTACCTTCAACATTGTATTAAGGCTGCTTTTGAAGAGCAACTCAGGAGAGGTTCTTTCAAGTTAAGGAAAATTTTGCAATATTCCTTATGTTAAGAAGGAAGTCAACACAAGCCTTGTGTTTGTCAACACCAATCAAGAAGATCAACATCTGGCCAGGAAACTGAGATGGATCCAGGATGGAAGCCATCTATTATTAATTTACAACTTTGGAACTACATCAGCAGAATATTCCTATAAAAGACTCAGTCTAATAATGCTCAAGTGTGGCAGACCTGAGGAGTCTGTTCCACCCGCTATGCTCTGCTCCATGAGAAGGAGGGAGATAGTGTACATATGGAGAGTGGCAGATTTGCACAGGAGCAGTCTGGTCATTTTGGAGCTTCTTTCTCAAGGGAAGAGGAAGAAGTGCACTTTTGAAGTCTTAGATTTGTACAGGGAGTCAGGTTCTGCTGTATGGAAAAAAGAGATCTGGTCCTTGGCATTGTGCTTAGGGAAAGAAGTTTTGGCATTTTGGTGTTATGAAGTCATGGCATTGTCGAAGTTTTGGATCTGTGCATTGGCATGCTGCAGGGAAGCAGGGTCTGGCTTAGCAGGTGCTTCTCCAAGGAGGGAGAAAAGGATATTGAAGGCTTGTGTTGACCATCTTCTTAACATAAGGAATGTTGCAAACATTTCCTTAACTTGAAAGAACCATTGCCACAGTCCTTATCAGAGTTTACTTTTCAGTTCTCGTTAGCAACTTTTAATTACAGTCCAGCAAGCAGGCCTCAGGATGAATGTGTGTACATGTGGTGTGAATGTAATTCTTCTTTGTTTGTTTGTTAGCCTTGTAATTGTAAATCCAATGTAGTTGCATAGAATCTATATGTCTGTATGTCCAATGTCCAATGTCATTCTTCGTCTAAATGTTTTTCTGTAATCTGATATCCCCTCTCACACTGGAAGCTGCAACAAAAAGAACCTATGCTTTAAAGTTATTGATAAGTCATTCATGACAAATATACCCAGTAAAATAAATTGTTGGTTTGTGTTCTTGTGATTCTGGCAACATTCCCAAGTAAGATTGCAGCTACACTGTAAAGTCAGTTTGACTCCACTGTGATTGCCATGGATTGATACTATGGAATCCTGGGAATTGTAGTTTCCCAAGTCCTTTAGTCTTCTCTGCCAAAGAGTGCTAGTGTCTTTCCAATTACAACTCCCAGGACTCGATAGCATTGACCCCTGGCAGTTCAAGTGGGGTTAAACCGAATTCATTCTGCAGTGCAGATGTGCACCCCTGGTGTACCTCTCTGTGCTTGAACTCACATTTGGGTTGCCTCTTTTCTTCGTGCAGCTCAGCAGTTTGTGATCTCACGGGAAGACGTCGTTTTGGGCCGAATCCTGGGGGAAGGCTTCTTCGGAGAGGTCTGTGAAGGTGTTTACACAAATGAGGTGAGTCCGAGGCAAGGGGCCACAGCGAACACTCTCCAATATTAGATACAGGAAAATGGATATTTGCAGTGGTGGAAGAAGATTACAAAGAGAACAATAACTGGCTCCACATCCCAGGAAAAAAAGACGAAGCTCAGTTCTGGTGTAACTTTAGATAGAAAAATATCCTAGAGATAAAGCACACAGGAGGTGTAGAATGGTAGATTCCTAAAGTTGGAAGGAATCCCCAAAGGTCATCCAGTCCAACCCCCGTCTGCCAAGAAGGAAGGCACAATCCAATTCCTCCTGACAGATGTTCATCCAGCATCTGTGTAAAAACCTTTTGATAAGAAAACCTCATGACATTCCCAGGCAATCTATATTCCCCTAGATTTGGAACAAAATCCCAAAAGCCATCCAGTTGAACCCTCTTTTGTCAACAGGAAAACACAATCCAATCCCTCTCAACAGGTTGCCCTCCAACTTCAGTTTAAAAACTCCAAATTGATTACACCACACTTGGAAATGTTCTGTAGAGTTTTTAAAATACGGTCCACCTGGGATGTAGCAAAGGGATTTCTTTTAAAATGGTGCCTAGGTCGAAACAGAGGCTGAATGGCCATCTGTTGGGAGTGTTTCGATTGTGTCTTCCTGTATTGTAGAATGGGTTGGATTGGGTGACCTCTGGGGTCCCTTCCAGCTATTTATTTTATTTTTATTTCTTGTGTCAGAAGCAAATTGCACATACTGTTATAATGTAGTTTTAAAAAGCCACAAACAAAGTTAAAAACTTGGCATGATACAAAATTTCATTTGACCAGAAGCTGGCCACTTGGACTGCCTCTGGTGTCACTGTGAGAAGGTCCTCCATTGTGCGTGTGGCAGGACACAATGTATAATATCACAAAGGATTACAATGTCACCCATTTAACATTTACACAAATGATCAGCCACTGCCAGAAGGGACAGAGAGTTCCATGTATGCTGACGATCGTGCCATCACCGCTCAAGCAGGGAGCTTTGAGATGGTTGAACAAAAGTTCTCCAAAACTTTAGGACTCTCACTGCCTATTACAGAGGAAAAAAAACAGCTGATTCCTAATCCATCTAAAATGCAGGTATATGCTTTTCATCTTAAGAGCAAGAAGCAAGAAGCACTGCCTGAACATCAACCAAATGTGGGTGCTAGAAACAATATCATACAAAAGCTGACTGGCGCAACCTGAGGATCACAACCAGACACAGTGAAGACACCTGCCCTTGAGCTTTTCTACTCTGCTGCTGAGTACGCATGCCCAGTGTGGAACACATCTCACCACACTAAAACAGTGGATGTGGCTTTTAATGAGACATGCCGCATTATCACGGGGTGTCTATGCCCTATACCACTGGAGAAATTACACTGCTTAGCCAGTATTGCACCACCTGACATCCGCTGGGAAGTAGCAGCCAATAGTGAAAGGACCAAGGCAGTGACATCTCCAGCTCATCCCTTGTTTGGGTATCAGCCAGCACGTCAACGACTTAAATCAAGAAATAGTTTTCTAAGATTTACAGAGACACTCGCTGGAACACATCAGCAAGCGAGAGTCCAAAAGTGGCAGGCTCAAACCCAGAACCTCAACCAATGGCTGATACCAAATGACAGACTCCCCCCTGGGCACACAGAGGACTGGGCGACTTGGAAGGCGCTGAACAGACTGCGCCTCTGGCACCACGAGATGCAGAGCCAACCTTCAGAAATGGGGCTACAAAGTGGAATCCATGACATGTGAGTTGGAGAAGAGCAAACCACTGACCACCTGCTGCAATGCAACCTGAGCCCTGCCACATGCACCATGGAGAACCTTCTTGCAGCAACACCAGAGGCACTCCCAAGTGGCCAGATACTGGTCAAAGGACATTTAACCAGCTAACAAGCTTGCAAATTTTGTGTTTTGTCTGTTTCATAGAATCATAGAATCATAGAATCCTAGAGTTGGAAGAGACCTCCTGGGCCATCCAGTCCAACCCCCTGCCAAGAAGCAGGAATATTGCATTCAAATCACCCCTGACAGATGGCCATCCATCTGTTTGGTTTGTTTTGTTTTGTTCTGTAAGAAATGTAATACAATTGACTGGTTGCCCTGACACGACAAGAATAATCTTAAGAACAGACAAGCATCTCAAGTTCTGAGGATTAGCTGGGGGAAATCCCACTGGAGCATTGCAGCACACCCAAATCCCTGGGAGTCACTCTGGACCGTGCTCTGATTTATAAAAAGCACTGCTTGAATATAAAGCAAAAAGTGAGTGCTAGAAATATCATACGAAAGCTAACTGGCACAACCTGAGGACCATAACCAGACACAATGAAGAACCTGCCCTTCCACTGTAGGGAAATATAAATTGCCTGGGAGTTCTCTGAAAGTTTCTAAGCAGAAGTTGGATGGCCATCTATCAGGAGTGCTCTGATTGTGTCTGCTAGGCAGAAATAGGTTGGACTGGATGGCTCTTTGGGTCTCTTCCAACTCTAGGATTCTACAATTCTACGGTTTAGTTGTATGAGGCTGTGTGCAGAAGAGAGCTGAATTAAAGTACTGACCAAACTATCATGTCTTGTTCCAGAATGGGGAGCGGATCAGTGTTGCTGTCAAGACCTGCAAGAAGGACTGCACGGCCGAAAACAAGGAGAAGTTCATGAGCGAAGCAAGTAAGTTTGACCTCTTCTTTCTTTGAGGAGCTAAACAATAAGCCCTCTGTCTTATTTTAAATGGTCTTTCCTCTGAAAATGGCCCCACTCTGAAATGAGACCCTTTTCCACTCTCCTTTAGTTCTGATGAAGAAGATGGACCACCCCCACATTGTGAAACTCATCGGAATAACAGAAGAGGAGCCCACCTGGATCGTCATGGAGCTCTATCCCTATGGAGAGGTGCGTTTTGATACTCACTGTGGGTGCAACCGCACTGTAGAATTAATGCAGTTTGACCCCAGTTTAACTGGATCGGCAGGAGCCCCCAGTTGCGCAATGGGTTAAACCCTTGTGCTGGCAGAACAGGTCAGAGGTTCAAATCCGGGGAGAACACAGATGAGCTCCCTCTGTCAGCTCCAGCTCCTCATGCAAAGGGGACATAAGAGAAGCCTCCCACAAGGATGGTAAAACATCAAAACATCTGGGCGTCCCCTGGGCAACATCCTTGCAGACAGCCAATTTTCTCACACTAAAAGCCACTTGCAGTTTCTCAATTAGCTCCCAACATGAAAAAAAACAAAAACAAAAACTGGCACAGTTCGATTCTAGTGGATCCAGTGAATTGTAGTTTGGTGAGGAATTAACAGTCTTGGGTAGGGAAAGCTTAAGACCTTGTAAAACTGCAACTTTCAGGTAAAACTACAACTTTTCTGGTGTGATTGCATTGGTAGTTAAAGTAGTAGGAGCCCTCGGTGGCACAGTGGGTTAAACCCTTGTGCCGGCAGGACTGAAGACCGACAGGTAGCAGGTTTGAATCCAGGGAAAATGCAGATGAGCTCCCTCGGTCAGCTCCAGCTCCCCATGCAGGGACATGAGAGAAGCCTCCCACACAGGTGGTAAAACATCAAAACATCCGGGCGTCCCCTGGTCAACGTCCTTGTAGACGGCCAATTCTCCCACACCAGAAGCAACTTGCAGTTTCTCAAGTCTCTACTGACATGAAAAATAGTTAAAGTAGTATCAAACTGCATTAATTCTGCAATGTAATTACACTTTGCACAATTAATGGGGTTTGATATTACTTTAAACTGCATTAATTCTACAGTGTAGATACACTTTGAGCCCCCCCCCCCCCACCCCCCAGTGGCAGTGGGTTAAAACGCTGAGCTGCTGAACTTGTTGACCGAAAGGTTGCAGGTTCAAATCCAGAGAGCGGCATGAGCTCCTGCTGTTAGCCCCAGCTTCTGCCAACCTAGCAGTTTGAAAACATGCAAATGTGAGTAGATCAATAGGTACTGCTCCGGCGGGAAGGTAATAGCGCTCCATGCAGTCATGCTGGCTACATGACCTTGGAGGTGTCTACGGACAATGCTGGCTCTTCAGCTTACAAATGGAGATAAGCACCAACTCCCAGAGTCGGACACGACTGGACTTAATGTCAGGGGAAAACCTGTTCCTTTAGAATTACTTTGAGACCCTCATGCTTTCTGGGGAGGGGTTTTAGGTTTTTGGATTAATTAAGACTGTATAGGGACTCTTCACATTAAAATGAGGTTCTCTCTATTGCTTTTTATCTAGTTGGGACACTACCTGGAGCAGAACAAGGCCACCTTGAAGGTGCAGACTCTGGTCCTATACACCTTGCAGATCGGGAAAGCCATGGCTTACCTGGAGGCCATCAACTGTGTGCACAGGTATGAGAATATCTATATCTATATCTATATCTATCTATCTCCTTTCATTTTTCTCATTTGGAGATACTTTTCAGAGGTAATATTGGGTAGGACCAAACTATCCACCCTATCGTATCTTCCCAGATGAAGCACAAAGCTCAAATTGAGCAAAGAGGCGAACAGACAACAAACAATAACTTTGGCCAAAGGAACTATGAAGCACTACTTTGAGTTCAACCTACTCACAGCATTGTTGAGATGGACAACATTTATTCCAAGCATCAGTATTTTATTGAACTTCAGAGCTCTGTAGACAATGAGAAAATGCACATGAGCAATGTCTAGGGCATTCTTGGGAACTCAAGACCTATGTAATCATTAGAGAATGTAGGAGCCCCCGGTGGCGCAGTGGGTTAAACCCCTGTGCTGGCAGGACTGAAAACCAACAGGTCGCAGGTTCAAATCCAGGAGAGGCGGATGAGCTCCCTCTACCAGCTCCAGCTCCTCATGCGGGGACACGAGAGAAGCCTCCCACAAGGATGATAAAATATCAAATCATCCGGGCGTCCCCTGGGCAATGTCCTTGCTGACTGCCAATTCTCTCACACTAGAAGTGACTTGCAGATTACTCAAGTCTCTCCTGACACGACAAAAAAAAATTAGAGAATGTGTCTAAATCTTGTTTGTTGTTTAAGAAGACATTCTTAGTGTTTGGCACTGGATGTCGCCATACTTCCTAGGCACATTTGCATTTGCAGCATTTCTATCATGGCACAAATTATAGAGTCAGCAAACAATACAGGTTGTAGAGCAAATGCATTCCTGCAACTCCTTCCTTGGGGTCTTTAATAGGATATTCTGGTGGTATGTAGGATTATCTCTAAAGAGAGACAGGAAAGACTTGGGGACATCTGCGAAAGCATACTTCTGCATCCTTGATTTTCTTGCTTTGTTAATCTGGATGGGAATGACTGGCTCACTTTTTCACTTTTAGGGATATTGCGGTCCGGAATGTCCTGGTGGCTTCTCCCGACTGCGTTAAACTGGGGGATTTTGGCCTCTCCAGATACATCGAAGATGACGAGTATTACAAAGGTAAGGAAGCAGTGAGGAAAGAGATCCAGAAGTCTAGAATGAATGAAATGCTCCTCCCAAGCATTGACTTCCCATGAGCTAGATCAGGCCTTGGCAAACTTCGGCCTTCCTGGTGTTTTGGACTTCAGCAATTCCTAACAGCCTACCTAACGGTCTAGACAAAATCCATCTATTGATGTAGCATAAATTGCATTGGCCACATCACAGTTTGGATCATTCCCAGCTTGTGGTCAGCTAAGACTCATAGATTCCTTTCACATTTACTGTTTCCAAGCAGTTTCAACCAGTCTCCATGCATGTCATTCCTTCTTCCCCCAGGGAAGGATATTCCATTGTCAAACAGCTCTTACTGTCAACTTCCCATCCTCCTGCCCCAAAAACTTTGAAATATCCTGCCTCTCAAGGTGCTCTCTTCTTCCTTCCTCCCTTCTTCCCCAGCGTCCGTGACTCGCCTCCCCATCAAGTGGATGGCTCCGGAGTCGATCAACTTCCGCCGCTTCACATCAGCCAGCGATGTCTGGATGTTCGGTGAGTAGAAGTTTAGAGGAAAGCAAACTTCTACTCTATTATATCCTCTATTACTATTATTATCAAATTATATCTCACTGAGCATTTTGAGAGGGACTGTAGAGGGCAAAGTGAGACTTTTGGGTAGTACAACATTCTGGGGTGCTTCTGAAGTCTATGTTTTAATGTTTAGTGGTTTTTATGACACAAATAATTTGGTTTTTTTATTTTTAGATTTTTCTTTTCATCCACTTGTTGTTTTTTGATCTGCACTGCATTGTATTCCTGATTAGCTACCTTGAGTCCTTATATCATGAGAAAGGTTGGATTTAAAAAAATGAAAGAAAAGAAATAACTCCCATTTTTGGCACGCTCTTTCCCTATATTTTTCCCTCCAGCGGTTTGCATGTGGGAAATCCTCAGCTTTGGCAAGCAGCCCTTTTTCTGGCTGGAGAACAAGGACGTGATTGGGGTTTTGGAGAAGGGGGACCGCCTGCCCAAGCCGGACGCTTGCCCTCCGCTCCTCTACGCCCTGATGACCCGCTGCTGGGATTACGACCCCAACGACAGGCCAAAGTTCAAGGAGTTGGTCTGCAGCCTCAGGTCAGTGGGGACCCCAGCAATGCCCACCCTGTTATTCGGCATATCCAGATCAAGACCTCTTCTCAAAATGTCAGTATCTCTGAACACAAGAGCCACATAGAGATCCAATCTCCTGATGCTCTGAATCCTCTCCAACCAAGTTCTTAAGGCACTGCACCCAGTGTGCCGATCACCACTGGGGCCACCTTTCCTGGTTTGTGCCAGAGCCTTTGCAGTTCGATTTTTAAATCCTCATTGTCATGTTTTCCAGTTGTTTCTCTGCAAACCTGCTGTCACCTGGGATTGCGACATCGACGGTCCATACTTTGATGATGATGATGATGATGATGATGATGATGATGATGATTATTTATACCCTGCTTTATCTCTACTGCAGGAGACTCAAATTCCTTTCAAATTAATTAGAAAATAACACTTTCAAACCTGGAACAGATACTTTTTCAAATTTTGTTACATAGTGTTATTATTACTGATTACAGTTATTTCAATAATAATAATAATAATAATAATAATAATAATAATAATAATAATAATAGAGTTCATTGAGGTGTGGAAACTTCGCAATTCTTAATGTCATCCGACCTAGATTCTGTGATTGCAAAGGACAGATTCAGCAACCGAAAGGAACAAATTATGTCATTTGTCTCATTCTTCTTCTTATTGCCTCTCAGTCAAAAAATAAAAGTAAGCTATAAATAAACACAATAATAAAATATATAACAGTATAGGTGATTTGGGTGTCTGTAGAAACTACAGTTCTGACCAGTGTGCTAATTTCCACAGCTGCGAAATTGCAAGATTCTGCAACCTGAATTAATTACTGTATTTATTTGATTCCAAGATGCACTTTTCCCCCCATGTAAACATCTCTAAAGATGAGGTGCATCTTGGGATTGCAGGTACTTTTCATACATACACACACACACACACATACACACATGTAGCACCTACACTTTGATCTATCTGTCTGTCTTCTGTTGGTGGTATTGAAATTAAGTTAACCATCAACAGCATCTTAAAATTGAAGAAATATGATACGCCTTTTTGGCATTCTTGTTGCAGACTTTGCTGCGGTGTCAGGCCTGAGGACTTGAGATTCGTTTTAAGATTGGGAAGCATGATATAAATGTAATACTGCAATGCTATTTACAATAGCAAAAGGGGAATTCTGCAACCTGAATGAATTATGACTTTTTTTATTTTTCTGATTATTCTAGTTTTACATGTAAAATATACAATCAAATCTTGGCTTGCACAGGTTTAACTTTTGCAGAATTGATTTATGAAACTACAGCTCCCAGGATTCAGCCATGACAGCTAAAGTGGTATCAGACTACATTGATTCTAGAGTGTAGATGCATCCTAGGTAGTAGGTGGAGCCTTGAAATAGACCCCTGAATCCTTTCCTTTTTTTTCCTTCCTTCTTGTTTGCAGCGACATTTACCAAATGGAGAAGGAGATGGCCCAGGAACAAGAGAGGAATAACCGCCACCGTCCCCCCAAAATCATGGAGCCCCCCTCTTTCCAAGACCCTCCTCCAAAGGTGAGAGATGGAAAGAGAATGTGAACACATGCCACCTGTCCCGATTTGGCAGGGAATGTCCTGAGGAATCCTCTCTCTTTCTAGGTTTCCCCATTTGTCTCTCTCCTGCTCCTACTTTCTTCTTTTGTCCTGAAGTTCCTTCAACAGAATCCAAAGTGCAAAGGTGATTTGCATTGTTTGCATTAATACAGCAGGAGCCCCCTGTGGCGCAGTGGGTTAAACCCCTGTGCCGGCAGGACTGAAGACCAACAGGTCACAGGTTTGAATCCAGGGAGAGGCGGATGAGCTCCCTCTATCAGCTCCAGCTCCTCATGCGGGGACATGTGAGAAGCCTCCCACAAGGATGATAAAACATCAAATCATCCGGGCGTCCCCTGGGCAACGTCCTTGCAGATGGCCAATTCTCTCACAACAGGAGCGACTTGCAGTTTCTCAGGTCGCTCCTGACACGACAAAAAAAAAAGCAGGAGAAATAGAAAACAAAAGGGGGGACATATTACCCTGCAAACTACTGCTTGCATCAAGGCACATCTACAGACATAATTTTGCACCATCCTGCCTGGTTTAAAAGGTGGTCATGTTTGGTCATTGCTAACCATAAATGCAATTCTTCCAAAGTTACAGGACCAGCCAATTCCAGTTTGTGTGTATGTATGCATCTCTGCCTTCAAATGGTATGTCAATTTATGGCGACTTCCATGCTTTTCATAGGGTTTTCTTAGGCAAGGAAGGCACAGAGGTGGTTTTGCAAACTCCTTTGACTGGAATAGTGCTGGAGACTCCCGTTTCAGAGGAAGGAACTACACACACACACTTGATCTTAGCCAAAAGGCCAAGGAAAGAACTGACAAAACCAGCACTGAGTCTTCCTTGCCTAAGAAAACCCCATGAAATCCATGGGGTTAGCATAAGTCAGTAGGTGACTTGGAGGGATCGACATGCACATACCCTAAAGGAATCACATTCCACCTGATCTTGGAAGCAAAGCAGGGTCAGCTCTGGTTGGTCCTTGGATGGGAGACTGCTAAGAAATTGCTAGGTGCTGCAGGCTTTAATCTCAAGGAAGAAACACGGCCTTATTCTTCCAATTACTCAGCTCATTTCCTCTAATTGGCCCTGGAATGAACAGCCACAGACCCGTACCTAATATTATTGTTGCCTCCCATAGCATTGCACTTAATTCCCGACCCCCCCCCCCTAAAATTTTTGGGCTTGCACAAATCTTGGCCCGGCCTTTTAAGTTTTTAAATTGCCTTGAACAGGCAGGATTACTTTTAATATATGTGTGTTATGGCAACAATTTTTATGCTTATATTGTTTTGTTAATCTGTGATGTTACCTGGGAACCGCTCTTGAGTCCCCTCGGGGAGATAGGGCACTGGGGACCAGTTTGTGTGTGTTTTGTGTATGCCTTCAAACTGCCTGTCAGCTTGATGAGACCCTGTAATTTGCAAAGGGTTTTCTTAGGCAAGGGATACTCTCAGGTGGTTTTGTTCTTTCTTTTGAATCAGAGGCTATGCTACCTGAGATTGGTCAATGGTCTCCCATGAAAAGGACAAATCAGGGCTGACCCTGCGTAGCTTCCAAAACTAGACAAGACTGGACAATGCCAGCTAGAACAATAGGTATCACGCTAGTGGGAAGGTAATGGTGCTCCATGCAGTCATGCCAGCCACATGACCTAGGAGGCATCTAGGGACAACGCCGGCTCTTTGGCTTGGAAATGGAGATCAGCACCAATCCCCAGAGTTGGACATGACTGGACTTAATGTCAGGGGAAAACTTGACCTTTAGCTTCAGTATCAGCAATATGGAGGCATCAAAAGAGGTATTCCATAATTGGGGTGCAACGTATCCTTCCATAATAGAGAGACACAGTTCTTATGCCTTCCCTCTCTTCTGATTCTCTATGATCTTCTGATTCTCTATGAGACATGATAGCCATGTATAAATACGTGAGAGGAAGTCATAGAGAGAAGGGAACAAGCTTGTTTTCTGCTGCCCTGGAGACTAGGACACAATGGAACAATGGCTTCAAACTACAGCAAAGAAAGGAGATTCCATCTGAACATGAGGAAGAACTTCCTGACTGTAAGAGCCGTTCAACAGTGGAACTCTCTACCCCGGAGTGTGGTGGAGGCTCCTTCTTTGGAAGCTTTTAAACAGAGGCTGGATGGCCATCTGTCGGGGGTGCTTTGAATGTGATTTTTCTGCTTCTTGGCAGAATGGGGTTGGACTGCATGGCCCATGAGGTCTCTTCCAACTCCATGATTCTATGATTCTATGATCCTGGAATAACATATATCTTGTTGGCACCAAACGGTTCCTTTCTCTCATATAATTGTCCTGGTTGTTCTTTGCAGCCCAGCCGACCAAAGTACAAGCCACCGCCACAGACCAACCTTCTCGCCCCCAAACTCCAGTTCCAGGTAAGATCTAAATGGCTCCCATATTTCAGTGTGTTGATGCTCTGTTTGATACCTAGTTCCATCTCTGAAGAAAGAGCTGCAGTCCCTTCACAGTTGCCATTCTTTGGTGTCTTGTCGGCCAGACTCACATACCTGTTGCGTGTTTGTTTCTTTCGAGCTCTTCGACTTTGCCTTTCCCCCCTTCTCTGCTGAATTCGTTGCAGCCGCTTGATGCTTCTTGGGATTTTTCCAGCAGCCCAAACCAATATGTCTTCAGTGAAGCGCAAACTCTTTCCGCAGGAATCTGTTTGTGCTGAATTTTTGCAAGGCAAAGAATTGTGCAGAATAAATGCAAACTTTTTTCCTTTAGTGTTGTGGTGTAATTGCACTGTATCATCAGCCAAATGCTGCATGGAGCTGAACGCATCCAACATCCAAGAGTCCGTGTAGATCTGGTCCGATGAACAAGGTTGTTCTTCTCAATGAGGATATCTACTTTCCTTCTCTGTGGGCCTCTAATACTGTTGTTGCATCTGATGTTGCTGCCTCTGTGGCCTGTTGTCCTGTGCTGCCTGCTGCCCTTTGCTTCGCTTTCTCAGGTGCCCGAGGGCCTGTGCGCCAGTTCGCCGACGCTCACCAGCCCCATTGAGTACCCATCTCCTGCCAACTCCCTGCACACCCCGCCCCTCAACCGGCACAACGTCTTCAAGCGTCACAGCATGAGGGTAAGAGGAGGGGTTGCGGGGCCATTTCAATGAAAGGAAAAAAGCATCTCAAAGCAGCAGCAACAGCAGCAGCAGTTCAGCAGATCAGAAGCTTCCAATGCCAGCAGTAGAGCTATTGAGTTTCAACAATACAGGAGCAGAGTCAAACTTAAATAAGTTATATATTTGCTCAAGTCTAATGTCTGGGTCAATAACAGTCCATATGAAAAAGATCTTGGGAGTCTTCATGGGCAACAAGTTGGACACAAACCAATAGTGTGATGCAGCAGCTCAAAAAGCCAATGGGATTTTGGACTGCATCAAAAGGAGTATTGTGTCTAAATTGAGGCAAGTCATGGTGCCTTTGTGTTTAGCTTTAGTCAAACCTTACCTGGAATACAGTGTCCAGTTCTGGGCACCACTGTTCCAAAGAGATATTGACAAGCTGGAAGATGTCCAGAGGAGGGAGACTAAAATTATCAAAGGTCTGGAGACTATGAATCCCTATGAGGAGCGTCTTAAAGAGCTGTGTCTGTTTAGCCTGCAGAAGAGAAGGCTGAGAGGAAACATGAGAGGAGCCATGTATAAATATGTGAAAAGAGTGTCATAAGGTAGAGGGAGCAGGCTTGTTTTCTGCTGCCCTGGAAACTAGGACCCGGAGTTTAAATGATAGGAAAGGGGATTCCACCTGAACATTAAGAAGAACTTCCTGACTGTGAGAGCTGTTCAGCAGTGGAACTCTCTGCTTTGTAGTCTAGTGGAAGCTCCTTCCTTGGAGGCTTTTAAACAGAGGCTGGATGGCCATCTGTCAGGGGTGCTTTGATTGTGCTTTTCCCTCATGGCAGAAGAGGTTGGACTAGATGTCCCACGTGGTCTCTTTCCAACTCTATGATTCTATTATTCGAGTGCACATTGAATCTAATACGCAGCTCAATTTTCAAAACACTGAAACTAAAAAAAATACTGCTGAATGTAATGTACAGCAGCAGGAAGTGTGCTCTTTGTAATTTGCCCCCAAAAATGTGTGCATTACAGTTTCTGTCTGCTTAGGATTCCTTCGTTAATGGCTAGATTGAGGGAAGTCATGGTGCCTTTGTATTTGGCTTTAGTCAGACCTTACCTGGAATACAGTGTTAGATTCCATCAATATAAACAGTTATATTAGGACACCAAAGCTTCCAGAGATAGAAAAGAAAACTTTGGGATGCATCTATGCTGTAGAACAGGCATGGGCAAACTTGGGCCCTCCAGGTGTTTTGGACTTCAACTCCCACAATTCCTAACAGCCGGAATTGTGGGAGTTGAAGTCCAAAACACCTGGAGGGCCCAAGTTTGCTCATGTCTGCTTTAGAATGAATCCATTTTAATTGTCTTGGTTCAGTGCTATGGGAGCTGTAGTTTGACAAGGTTTTGAGCCTTCTCTGTCAAAGAAGGCTGATACCTCACCAAGCTACAAATCCCAGGAGTCCATATCATTGAGCCATGGTCATTAAATTAGATCTGAGGTCCTTCAAATAGGATCTCCAGGTGGATCTCCTGAAGCACTTTCACCTTTTGCTTTGGCTCAGCACAAACATTACTGTAGGATGTAAATCTAATGTTGTGGCAAGGTCATGTCACCAAAAAAAATGAACATTAGATTTGCAGCAGACATCTTGCCCCTCCCCATGCTCACAGAAGAAAATGGAGAGCTCAGGAGTTTGCCAGGTGCTCAGAAAAAAAAAGTCGTGTCCCTGAGAAATATTAGCTTGAGAAGAAATATGATAGGAGGAGAGAAAGGAAGACAAAGAGGACAACAGGGGAAGGGTTTTTCCCTGCCAACTCACTCATCTACCTATCTAAGTCCTTGATGAGGACTACAAGCTTGAGCAGGATGTGATGGAGTTCCAACAAGAGGCAGGTGGATCCACTTTGGACATCAACTTGACCTTAGAGATCAGAAGGGAACACAAAACAGAAGTAGTTGGAATTTCCCCTGATTTTGGACAGATCATACTGTGTGATCAGAACTGGTGGGCCCACAGCTTATGGGGGGCATAGGATGGGTGGTACTTTCAGACCTTCTGCAGCTATCCATCCTAATTGACCAAAAACGAGGTACCATTCAATGGCCTTATTCCTCTGTGTGCTTTTGCCCGTGTTGCCCCTACAATTTGCTTCTGCTGCTCCCTTTGCCCAGCTCCAACTCGGCCAGTCTGCTCTTAAATGCAGCTTTCCCAGTGTGATATTTTGCTAGGTCTTTCTCTGTGTGAGTCAGATGCCTTGAGTCCACAAGTGGTGGGCTGTACCTGGAACGTGGAGAAGTCCAAGGTATTTGATTCCATCTGAACATGAAGAAGAACTTCCTAACTGTGAGAGCCGTTCAGCAGTGGAACTCTCTGCCCCGGAGTGTGGTGGAGGCTCCTTCTTTGGAAGCTTTTCAACAGAGGCTGGATGGCCATCTGTTGGGGGTGATTTGAATGCAATATTCCTGCTTCTTGGAAGAATGGGGTTGGACTAGATGGCCCATGAGGTCGCTTCCAACTCTTTCATTCTATGATTCTATGAACTGCCACAGCAGCATCCTATGCAGCCTTGGGATTTGTAGTCTGGGGCGGTCCCCAAACTAGAGATCCCAGGATAAGATGTTTCATATACATAACATAAATTTTACATTTAATTGTGGTCCCATCAACATCTCCAAGGATGCAATAAACACTGTAGAACTCTCTGCCTCAGAGTCTGATAGAAGCTCCTTCCTTGGAGGCTTTGAAACAGGGGCCAGATGGCCATCTGTCGGGAGGGGTTTGATTGTGTTTTTCTTGTATATCAGAGGGTTGGACTAGATGGCCCCTAGGGTTTCCTTCCAACTCTAGGATTCTCTGATTCTATGTTTTTTTTCCCTGGTCCTGAAGGAGGAGGACTTCCTGCGCCCCAGCAGCCGCGAGGAAGCGCAGAAGCTGTGGGAGATGGAGCGGGCCAAGATGAAGCAGCTGATTGACAAGCAGCAGAGGCAGATGGTGGAGGACTATCAGTGGCTGCGGCAGGAGGACAAAGCCCTGGTGAGTGGGACTCCCCAAAATAGTTAGTACAATGTGTTGTTGAAAGCTTTCATGGCCAGAATCACTGGGTTGCTGTGAGTTTATGGGCTGCCTGGCCATTTTCCAGAAGCATTCTCTCCTGACATTTCACCCGCATCTATGGCAGGCATCCTCAGAGGTTGTGAGGTCTGTTGGAAATGAGGCAGGTGGGGTTTATATACCTGTGGAACGTTTGTGTGGGAGAAAAAACTCTTGTCTGTTGGAGGCAGGTGTGAATATTTCAATTGGCCACCTTGATAATCATCATCATCATCATCATCATCATCTTTATTTATACCCCGCCACAACTCCCCAAAGGGTTTGGAGCAGCTTACATGAGGCCAAGCCCAGCGATACATTACATTAACATTGATTAGCCTTTCAGTATCAAAGTCTAGCTGTTTATTGCCTGGGGAAATCCTTTGTTGGAAGTTGTTAGCTGACCCTGATTGATTCTTTCTGGAATTAATCTGCTTTCTGAACATTGTTCTTTATTCACTGATTTTAGAGGGTTTTTTGAATACTGGTATCATGTGGACAATTTCAGAAGAAAGGGGGGGGGACTATGAAAATGAACAAAATATGGCTCCCAGTATTTAAAAAAAACCCTCTAAAATCAGGAAAGTTAATAAAGAAAACAGAGGAATCCCAGACATGAATTAATCAGGGCCAGTTAACACATGCCAACAAAGTATCCCCCAGGTAGGAAGCAGCCAGGCTTTGAAGCTGCAAGGCCATTTGATGTTAATCAAGGTGGCCAATTGAAAAGTTAACACCTGCCTCCAACAGACAAGAGTTCTTTCTCCCACCCTGGACATTCCACAGATATATAAACCCAATTTTCCTAGTTTCGAACAGACCTCACAACCACTGAGGATGCCTGCCACAGATGCAGGCGAAATGTCAGGAGAGATGCTTCCAGAACGTGGCCAGACAGCCCAGGAAACTCACAGCAACCCAGTTCGTACAACTATTGGGAATCCCCTGATTCCTTCACCAGGGTGAAATTTGGGGTTCCCAAATCCTAAAGGAACATGTGTCGGACTCAGTACAGCATATTACAAAGTTAATGCAACTTGTAGGATTTGTCTTATTCTTTTGCTTCTTCCCAGTTCAGTAGTTTGAACAGAATGTGCTTTGCTTCACACTGTAGAATTCATGGAGTTCGGCACCACTCTTTATAGCCTGGTCTAATTGCACTGTGCAGTTCTTCTCGTAGGGAAAGTGGCGTTGGTATTCTTGACCCTGTCCACTGTCATAGGATCCTAGGAATTGTAGTTTGCTGAGGCTCCAATGCTATTTGGCAGAGAAGCCTGGAGGCCTTGGAAAACTACAACTCCCTGGATTCCACAGCATTAAGCCCAGGCAGCTCTAGTGGTGCCCAAACACATTGATTTGATGGTGGGGATGCAATTGTAGACATGAAAATTTATATACTGGTGTATGGATGCAAACCTGGCTATCATAATTAGCCACGAGTGATAGCCTATGATGATGATGATGATGATGTAAACTTGGATTGAAAGTTGGTCTTGCTGGTTCATGGCATCATTAATCATGGGTTAATTTGGAGGCCTGATTGTTTGCCCCTCTTTCTGGCCATAGGATCCCATGGGTTTTCCAGACAGCGAACCCCCAGTAAGTCTCTCCAAAGAGATCTTGCTTTGCTCCAGGTGCCCTGAAACCTGCTCTCTGCTCCTTCTTCTAAAGCCTTACCTTTCCTTTCTTTCCTAAGAATTGCAAAAACGACAACAATAACAACAACAACAAAAACAACTGCAGAATGTTGAATGCTCAGCTGTGGCCCGAAGCAGAAATGCCCAGTAGCCCAATTGGATCATCCAGTTGCATTACTGGGCAAAATACAGGATAATAAATCTATTTATTATATGGCTGTGTAGAAGAAAATATAGTTGGCCCTCCACAATTGCAGATGTCACTTTTCCATATTTGGTTATTCATACGTTTGATTATTATGGGCTTTTGAAAACTCTCTAGGTCCTCCAGTGTCTTCTTCCAGTAGACATTGACCATATAATTGCACTGGAGGCCCTATAGATTCATAAATTGATCATAAGGTAAAGTTAAAGCTTTTCCCCTGACATTAAGTCCAGTCGTGTTTAACTCTGCGGATTGGTGTTCATCTCCATTTCTGAGTATCCTGTAACAAACACATAGTAAAAAACACATTTCTGAGTATTCTGTAACAAACACATAGTAATAAAGGTGCCATAGAGACAGAGAAAGTGTGTCCTAAGAGTGAACTACAAGTCCCTGAGTTAGTGAGGTTTGATTCCTCACTTCCCCCTCTACCAGCCTCATGTTTGACTCTGAGGATTGGTGCTCATCTCCATTTCTAAGCCAAAGAGCTGGCATTGTCCCTAGACGCCTCCAAGGTCATGTGGCCGGCATGACTGCATCAAGAGCCATTACCTTCCCGCCAGAGCAGTACCTATTGATCTACTCACATGTGCATGTTTTCGAACTGCTAGGTTTACAGAAGCTGGGGCTGACAGCAGCAGCTCATGCTGCTCCCAGGATTTGAACCTGCAACCTTTCGGTGAACAAGTTTAGCAGCTCAGTGGTTTAACCCACTGTGCCACCAGGGGCTCCTCTAATAGTAATATTAACTTTATTTATATCCTGCCACCGTCTCCCAGAAGGAATTGAAGTAAAGTACTTGGTAACAAAAAAAGCTTATGTGCCAAAGAATTCATGAATAAACATTTACTTGTTTATATATATATATAGAAACAAGGAAATGTTTATTCATGAATTCTTTGGCACATAAGCTTATTTGTTACCAAGTACTTATTTGTTACCAAGTACACAGACTGACTTCCAGACTTATAATGTAAATCCTGTAAATCCTGTAACTTGACTCAAGACTCCACACACACACACACACACACACACACATGACTCCATATATGTATGTGTGTGTATGTATGTGTGTGTGTGTGTATATATATATATATATATATATGGAGTCTTGAATCAAGTTACAGGATTTACGTTATAAGTCTGGAAGTCAGTCTGTGATTGCATTGAAGTTACCTGTGAGGAAAATTGGAAGCTACATATTGACTCCAGGTTTTGGATTATTTATAGAAGAAATATACGCAGGCAAAGAAAGATTGCATCCTGTAACAAACACATAGTAATAAAGGTGCCACAGAGACAGAGAAAGTGTGTCCTAAGAGTGAACTACAAGTCCCTGAGTTAGTGAGGTTTTGCTCCAGGCACTGTCAGGCCATTATATCCTAATCAAGGTGGTCAGTTGAAACATTCACACCTACCTCCAACAGACAAGAGTCCTTTGTCCCACCCTGGTCATTCCACAGATATATAAACCCTTTTTCCTAGTTCCAACAGACCTCACTAGGCCTGGTTGATCAAGAAAAAATTTGGTTCTAAAATCGATTTGTAATTGGGGTGTTTTTTTGTTTCGATATTTAAAATAATTACAAAATTTTCCCCCAAAAAAGTTTTGGTATTTACGAAATTTCGTAAATATTAACGAATTTTTAGAATATTTTTTGTATTTTTTAAGAATAATATTAAAATAATATTAAAAATATTTAAAAATGGAAAATTAACCAAAAAATGGCCCAAATGTGGACCAAACACAGGCAGGAGACAGCAAATGAGAGCACACACCAACAGAAGAGTCTTTTCTTTTTTAGAATATTTTTTAAGAATAATATTAAAATAATATTAAAAAATAATATATAATATTAAAAAATATTTAAAAATGGAAAATTAAGAAACAAATTCACAAAAACCGAAGGAAGTAATGAATCCAAGCAAGGAATATAAGCAGCACTAAGCACAGCAGCAAGGAATGAATCCAAGCAAGGAATGAATCCAATCCAGTTGCTAGCCAAGCCAAGCCAACCCAATGCAAACCCTCCCTCGCCCTCTGCAGCAATGAGCTACGGCCGCGCGGAGCCGCTTTGAAAGGGCTCGCCGGCCAATCAAAAACAAACAGCCACGGTGCACTGCTTGGGAGCGCCGGATTGGCTCCCAGGCACCAGCATCCTCCATCCAATTTCCGAAACGGGCGGAAGCTCGTTAAAAGGATGGGGGATGCCGCTTCGTTATTTTAAAACCCTTCCGGGTTTGAAAAAATGTTTTGATATCGCTTCGTAAATGCTAAAAATAACGAATGTTTTACGAATAACGAAATTAACGAACGAAACCGCACAGGCCTACTCACTACCTCTGAGGATACTTGCCATAGATGCAGGCGAAATGTCAGGAGAGAATGCCTCTAGAACATGGCCATATAGCCCAAAAAAACCTACTACAACTATAGTGAGGTTTGATTCCTCACTTCCCTCTGTACCAGCCTCATCTCTTGATGAGGACATAGGTACATATATGTCCCCCCCTCCCCTCTACGTTATATTACATTATTAATTGGTGGCAATGTTACAATTACTGTTATTTGTGCTAAAAGACATTGCAGGGACTGTTCTTTATTATCAATAAGGACCCTTGGCAAGCTTTCTTACCCTCACAGAGAGAACAGTCCTTATAATAAAGGGCCCTTGGCAAACTCTATAAGGATCAAATTTTGCGACCCTCAAATAGGGACTGTCCCTTATAAACAAGGGAGCCTTGGTAACTTTACAACCCTTGACAATTTCGACTCTCTGGGATTGCATCCTTGACTTTCCTTTTGCTTTTCAAATCTGGCTAACTTCTTTTCATTCTAATTCCTCTCTTTTCTAGATGAAGGCTACAAAGCTTTATGCATGCTTGCTGGGGAAATCACCCCAAATGAGTCTCTTGGGTTTTACATTTGACCATGACACCATGGGGTTATGCCAAATAAGTCTTCTTCTTTTTTACTTTTCAGAAACTTCCTGACAAGGAGTCCGGTTACAGTGAGTATCAACCCCAAACTACCTGCCTTATACTCAAAATGCTTTTAATTCTGTGCTTCCATCATTCAATTATTATATGCCTTTTGCACTTAAGAGAGACAGAAGTCTCCTTCATTGAATGTTATCCTGCAGTGGCTCCAACAGTCATGAATCCACTCCAGCTTTTACTTTGGCCCTAATGGAGCTGTCTATTCTAAGGTGCTGAACTCCAGTCTCTTGATTAGATTCTCCTGAAGCTTTAGATAAAACATGGAGTGGATTCCAAGCTGGATTGTCATAGACTCTGACCTTTGCCAAGCTTCCATACAGTTTTACAGGGTAGAATTTTTAAATAAAATGTCGTAGAATTGGAGGGAAAATTAGATCATTTCCTCCTCCCAAATAAGAGTAGGACTCCCATGAAATTCCCCTCCAGTACCCAACTTTCTAACATTGTAGGAGCTTAGACCTTCAGTTTAGAGTTTAAAGGTTAGAGTTAGGAATATTGGCACCCAAAGAAAAGTCACAGGCAAATGCACCAAAGAAAAAGCAAACACAAAAAGTAGAAGAATATATAAAGGATTCTCAAAGTCTCCCACTTTGCAATGTTCAAATTTTGGGGAGGAATAAGGGGACATTGCATTGTGGGAGAAGAAATTCTATTGGGGGGGGGTCCTATCTTCATTTTGCAATGCTCTTGATTGTAATCTATCAGCTCAAGGGTGATAAAGAGATGGCTGCAGGATTTGTAAAGTTATTGAAATTTCACTAATGAAGATGATGATGATGACACTTTTATATTTCTTTTTATTGACGGCTTAGCTGAGTTTACCGGACCCCCCAAAAAGCCACCCAGGTTTGTTCCGCAGGTATGTATCTTGTCCTAGGGTTTTTACTCTTATCTCTTCCTGGTTTGAAGGCAGTTTCTTTACGTGCTCATTCTAAATAGGGAAAGCATAGCACAATATCAGTATTAGTAATATTACATGTAATATAAATATATATAATTATAATATTGTATTATTATTATTATTATTATTATTATTATTATTATTATATTACAATTGTTGCACTTCAGAGCTGGAAACAGGGCCCTCTTGTCATTAATACACCACACCTTGGTTTAGGAAAAATACAATCCTTTTATTGAATGATGAATATAAAATAGATTAAAGACCAAAGGTAAAAAAAGCCAAAATGAAACAGCAAACAGCAATGTCCAGAAAGCTTGCAGAAAATCCAAAGCAGTAATGTCCAAACAACTCTCAATAGAAATCCATGAACAGACAAGTCCCAGCTAATTCTCACTTGAAGCCAGAAATTTCCTTAGAGACCAGACCACTGGAAATTGGAAAACTCAGGAGGTTTATACTTGATACTTGATACTAAATGATGCTTGGTCTGAGGAAATCCCCCTCACGGGCACTCTTAAATCCCAAAAAGTTTGCAGACGACACCAGATTGGGAGGTATAGCCAATACTCCAGAGCAAAATGATCTTGACAGATTAGAGAGATGGGCCCAAACAAACAAAATGAAGTTCAACAGGGACAAATCAAGATACTCCACTTAGGTAGAAAAAACAAAATGCAAAGATACAGAATGGGGGACAATGCCTGGCTCGAGAGCAGTACGTGTGAAAAAGATCTTGGAGTCCTCGTGGACTGTTGTTAAACATGAGCCAACAATGTCACATGGAGGCAAAAAAAGCCAATGGGTTTTTGGCCTGCATCAATAGGAGCCTAGTGTCTAGATTCAGGGAAGTCCTGCTCCCCATGCTCTATTCTGCCTTGGTTAGACCACACTTTGAATATTGTGTCCAATTCTGGACATCACAATTCAAGAGAGATATTGACAAGCTGGAATGTGTCCAGAGGAAGACGACTAAAATGATCAAGGGTCTGGAGAACAAGCCCTATGAGGAGCGGCATAAGGAGCTGGGCATGTTTAGCCTGAAGAGGAGCATGTTTAGCTGAGCATGTTTAGCTGAGAGGAGATATGATAGCCATGTATAAATATGTGAGAGGAAGCCACAGGGAGGAGGGAGCAAGCTTGTTTTCTGCTTCCTTGGAGACTAGGACACAATGGAGCAATGGCTTCAAACTACAAGAAAGGAGATTCCATCTGAACATGAGGAAGAATTTCCTGACTGTGAGAGCCATTCAGCAGTGGAACTCTCTGCCCTGGAGTGTGGTGGAAGCTCCTTCTTTGGAAGCTTTTAAACAGAGGCTGGATGGCCATCTGTCAGGGGTTATTTAAATGCAATATTCCCGCTTCTTGGCAGGGTGTTAGACTGGATGGCCCATGAGGTCTCTTCCAACTCTAGGATTCTATGATTCCATGATTCTGATCCTTTCCTCTGCCCTGCTATAGATATTTTTATTATTGCAAGCTGTGATAACACTATGTAAAAAAAATTGGAAACATTTTCTGTTCCTGTTTTGAAAGTGTTATTTCCTGTTTAACTGCATAGAACATAGTTGCTCTGCTTGAGAAACTTCATTTTTGTGACTGCCACAAAGTAGGTTGAATAGGCCGAGACTCTGAGATTCCACCTGAACATGAGCAAGAACCTCCTGACTGAGAGAAGCAATTAGGAAATGACATTTATAACCAAGGAACAGAAATTGTGTTACATAGTTACATAAGACTGTAATATAAATAAAATTATTATTGTTATTGTTACTGTTACTGTTATTGTTATTGTTCGTGTTCATGTTCGTGTTATTATGTTGATTGAAGTTATGATCATGAATGCAGTAGTAATTAATTAAAATTTCTGTTGAAAAGCATATACCTCTCATTTCTATTTAGAAAGGATCATCATTTTTTTGATTGTCAGAAATGTGGGAAGCACTCCCCGATATTAACCCATTTCCCCCTCTTTCAGATGTCGCTGCAGCCAAACCCCACAGCAAACCTGGACCGGACGGATGACGCCGTCTACAGTAACGTCATGGAGCTGGTGAAAGCAGTTCTGAAGCTCAAGAACGAAGTCAGCAACCACCCACCTGAACGCTACATTCTGGCTGTTAAGGTCTTGCCATATTTATTTTTTGTTAGACAACCCCCAAAATACAAAAAGAAACCCCAGTCCTTCTCAGGTGGAGACTAAAAAAAAAACACTGAGAGCAAAGAAGACCCAAATCACGAGACAAGAGGTGGGAGGGTCGGATTTAAAAATAGGAAAAAGCATTTCAGAATGGTAAAGCATCAACAGCAGCAGTTCAGCAGACCAGAAGCTTCTAATGCCAGCAGTAGAGCGATTGAGCTTCAGTAATTCAGGAGCAAAGTCAAGCTTCAAAAATTTACAAAAGACTTTATTCAAAGAACTACCTATCTAAATAGGAAAGTAAACACAGGGACTAGCTATCTAACTATCCACAGGCAGCAGGCACCTTGTCTCTCTCCATGCTCACAGAAGGAGAATGAAAGGGAGGGCTCAGGATTTGCATTGTGCTCTGAGAAGTGTCAGTTTATTAATTGTGTAATGTGTTAGGTAGTTAACTGTTTTTACATTGTAGCATTGAATTTTTGCTGTTCTTATTTGTTGTAAACTGCTGTGAGTCGTCTTCGGGCTGAGAACAGCGGTATATAAGCAGAGTAAATAAATAAATAAATAAATTTAACAAGAAAGGTGATAGGAGAGAAAGGAAAACAAGCAGACAGAGAGTTCAAAGGGAAGGGCTTTGCCCTGCCAGGTAACTTAATTGCCTAAGTTCTTGATGAGGACTACAAACGTGTGCAGGTTCTGCTTGAGTTCCAACATTCTAGGTCCTAACAAAGGAGAGGCCAGCTTGTACAAGGGAGTCAATTCCACCACTGGGTAGAAGTGATTATAAACTTTTACATAATGTTTAAATTATAGGGTACTCCACAAACACATAGATTAATAGAGTTGGAAAGGACCCGAAAGGCTATTTTGCCAGGCATGGGAGCACAATCAATGCAGTTTTAAGAGTTGCCTTTCCAACCTCTGCTTAAAGACCTTCAAAGAAGGAGGTTCCACCATCATCTGAGGTAATCTCAAAGAGCCTCAGATGATGATGGAGGTCTCCAAAGGATAGTTCCACTCTCATTCAAAGAATAATGTTTTGAATGGAGCCATGATCCTTGGGAATGGGAACCCATCGATTTGTGTCCCCGGAAACCAGGCTTGCTCCATCTTCTCCATGACATCCCTCCAGAATATTTAAAGTGGGTTATCATAACTCCTCTGAACTTTCTCTTCTCCAAGCCAAACATTCCCAGATCCCTTGGATGTTCCTCATAGGCCTTGGTCTTGGTTTCCAGGCCACAAATCTGGACCATATTAGTTGGCATCCTATGGATGGGTTCGAACCAGACTAGATCCATTCAAGAAATTGGGTCCAATGGATTCAGCAAGTGTATCCTAATCAGACTAAAATAGAATTTAATGCACAGGGTCATATAATCCTAAGCATGGTAGGGACTGCAAGGGCCATCTGGTCCAGTGATTCTCAACCTGTGGGTCCCCAGATGTTTTGGCCTTCAACTCCCAGAAACCCTAACAGCTGGTAAACTAGCTGGGATTTCTGGGAGTAGTAGGCCAAAACACCTGGGGACCAACAAGGTGAGAACCACTAATCTAGTCCAACCTTTTGCTGTTTGGAAATACACAACAAAAGCAGTCCTGAATTATGGCTACCAATTCCCATCTCCCAGCTGAGATCCCAAAAACATGTCTCTTAAGTTCTTTAAATCATTAACCTAAGACAGTACCATACAATCATAGGATAGGAAGAGTACTGGTCCCTCGGGCACAGTGGTCAGACTATGCCTCAGAATATTTTATAGTAGACTATAAATCCCACATGATGATCATTGCTCAGCTGTGGGTTTTCCATGAGAGTTCCAGAACTGTGGGGGGAAATCTTTGTGCCCAATCAAAACTTTCAAAACATCCAGTTAAAACCTGAGACTTTTCTACTTGGTCTGACTGATACAAATGACTCTGATAAACTGTTGCAATACATGACCACAGCAGCCAGATTGTTCTGTGCGCATACATGGAAAAACCCAGCAGCCCCAACAATAGAAGATTGCATGATAATAATGATAAACTTGGCTGAGATGGACAAATTAACATGTTTACTAAAAGAAGGGACATTGGAAAGACTGGAAAACTTTTATTCATTTTTTGCCAGAGGACAAGAAGGTCTTTTGACTTTTAATGTAACTTTTAAAACTTCTAAATGAAGTTAGTTTTTAAAAAGCCACCTTTACCTGACACTTTGCTTCTCCTCCTCTTCCTTGGCAGGACGTGGGCCTTTCTCTTCGGAAACTCGTGGGGAGCGTGGATGACATCCTCCCGGCTCTGCCTTCATCAGCCCGCACCGAGGTGGGTCTGGTGCAGGAAGAGCAGCCAATCAGTAGCTTTAATGCTTGTTGACATAATAATATTGGTTTTTTTAAGTGTAGAGTTGTTTTCAATTATTTATAGATGTCACAATCTAGGCAAGATCTACATTGATGGTTACATGGCCAATAGTGTGTCTGGCTTGGCTCAGCTACTGCTGGGGGCAGGTCTTGGAAGAGTTAAACCACCTCAGACTCCTGGGATTATTATCTGGTAAGGTTGAGATCTCTGGATAAAAAGGGGTCTGGAAGAGATAGCTCTTTGGTAGCAGATAATGTTGTATTTTGGCACTCTTGTCCTGGATCTTGGCTCTGTTGCCCCTGGGTTAGAAGTCTGGACCCTGACCTTGTTCTTCAAACTACAAGGAAAGAGATTCCATCTGAACATTAGGAAGAACTTCCTGAGTGTGAGAGGTGTTCATCAGTGGAACTCTCTACCGCAGTGTGTGGTGGAGGCCCCTTCTTTGGAGGCTCTTAAACAGAGGCTGGATGGCCATCTGTCGGGGGTACTTTGAATGCGATTTTCGTGCTTCTTGGCAGGGGATTGGACTGAATGGCCCACGAGGTCTCTTCCAACTCAAGGATTCTATGATTCTAATCCTGTTCTGACCTCACAGACTTGGACTTCAGTTTGATCTCTGGCTATCTGGCTTGACTTTGGAACTCTGACTTCACTTTGTACTCCAAGCCTTTGGGACAATATTAGAAAACCTACTCCGCTGGCCGGAGCCAGCATGCTGTTTTGAGATGGCTTTAAACAACCGATTTTAAAGTAGATGTAATTGTTTATAGTGTTTGTGTATATTTATAGTTATTTTACATTCCGGCATGGAATGTGTGCCGTATATATGCCATGCTCTGTCCTGAGTCCCCCTCGGGGTGAGAATCACAGAATCATAGTGTTGGAAGAGACCTCATGGGTCATCCAGTCCAACCCCATTCTGCCAAGAAGCACCCCCAACAGATGGCTATCCAGCCTCTGTTTAAAAGCCTCCAAAGAAGGAGCCTCCACCACACTCCGGGGCTACTTCTGTCTGTGAACAGTTCTCACAGACAGGAAGTTCTTCCCCATGTTCAGATGGAATCTCCTTTCTTGTAATTTGAAGCCATTGTTCCGCACCCTAGCCTCCAGGGAAGCAGCAAACAAGCTTGCTCCCTCCTCCCTATGACTCACATATTTATACATGGCCATCATGTGTCCTCTCAACCTTCTCTTCTTCAGGCTAAACATGCCCATCTCTTTAAGCCGCTCCTCATAGGGCTTGTTCTCCAGACCCTTGATCATTTTAGTCGCCCTCCTCTGGACACATTCCAGCTTGTCAACATCTCCCTTCAATTGTGGTGCCCAGAATTGGACACTGTGATTCCAGGTGTGGTCTGACCGAGGCAGAATAGAGCATGGGGAGCAGGCATGTAGCCAGGGGGGAGGGCTTGGGGGCTTGGGGGCTTCAGCCCCCCCCCCCAAATTTCTGATGGTGGTCCACGAGAAGGCCTTACTGGTGCATTATTTAAACTGCTATGTTTATTCATATCATGATCTGATCACTATACTCAATATATTCCATATGCATGGGGGTATTGGGGTAACGATACAAAAGGTTTGCTAGGGTAGACCCTCTTTCACCCCCCCCCCCGAAACAAAATCCTGGCTACGGGCCTGATGGGGAGCATGACTTCCCTGGATCTAGACCCTAGACTCCTCTTGATGCAGGCCAAAATCTGTTGGCTTTTTTTTGCCACCGCATCACATTGTTGGCTCATGTTTAACTTGCTGCCCACAAGGACCCCAAGATCTTTTACACGTACTACTCTTGAGCCAGGTGTCCCCCATTCTCTATCTCTGCATTTCATTTTTTCTGCCTAAGGACAGAATATAAATGTTTCAAATAAAATAATAATAAACTCTTGCATTCGGGAAGATTCTTCTGTGAAGTCTTGGCATCTGACTATTGTTTATCCTTGCTCCCGACTTGGCAAAGCAGTTCTCAGCTAGTCTGCATTAGCTGCACTCCTGGTGTTGATTTGTCTTACTCTGGTTGTGTGCTTCAATTCTATTTTGTTGGCCCAACCTTTGAATGACTCAAGGTCTTGATTTGCCTTATGTTTGTTTAATAAACCTCAGCCCTTGAAGCCGGGTGAGTCCCAGCACATGACGCAGGTGTCCCAGATTCCAAGTCCAACACTTAAACGAAATACTTCCATTAACAAGTCATGTCTCTATCTCTGTTTCCTCCTTTGGCAGATTGAAGGGACGGAGAAGCTGCTCAACAAGGACCTTGCGGAGCTGATCAACAAGATGCGCCTGGCCCAGCAGAACGCCGTGACCTCGCTGAGCGAAGAGTGCAAGCGCCAGATGCTGACGGCCTCCCACACGCTGGCGGTGGATGCCAAGAACCTCCTGGATGCCGTCGACCAAGCCAAGATCCGGGCCAACATGGTGAAGGTCTCTTTTGAGTGACCGGGGAGAATGTTGGGTCCTTCCTCCCTCCTTTTTTAAAGTAACAGCTCCCTCCAGCTTCCATATTACCTTTCCCTCATCCCGCCCTTCCGCAACACGCTTGTGTCTTCGGTGTCGTCACGTCTGTCTTCTGAGGACCAAGGAAGGGGACTCCAAAGAGAAGAGGATGTAGGTTGATTGGGCCATGGAAGGGACGCCGGTCTTCCTGGGCTTTGGAGAGGAGGCTGCTCTACAAGGCGCTGTTGTGTACATAATAGTCCTGGGATGGGAAGAGACTTAATCCAGATTAGTCAGTGGACTCCAAGGACAGCATCCCGTTGATGACATAGGGTCAATTATAATATAAGTAAGGAGTGGTGGTTTGTTGGACAATGTACAGTTATCACGCCCAGTTGATGATGGTACAAGTAAAACTGTACATGGAACACCCTGTAAATGTGCATTGCATCTGTGTGTTGCCTTTGCAATTTCACATTGGAATTTTGGCCTTGCGCATTGACTATGTTTGGAGTTGGGCATGTGGAATGGACCTCCAACTGAAGCTCTGAAGGACCTCAACCTAAGCCAGGTCCAGTAATCCCATCAAAGGAAAGGACTTTGTTCCTCCATCCTTCAAAGATCCCTCTGAGCATCAAGAAGTATGCTTTGTCTCAGTGATGAAAGAGATTTATGGGATGGCTGGGTTGGCTTGTGGACATCTCCCATTACTACTGTTCTCAGGATTGCTCAGGGGATCACTCCAGAAGTGCTTCATTGGCAGGTCCATAGATTGCTCAAGGGATTGCTTTGGAAATAGCTCCAGGATTGCTCTGTTATTGCTCCAGGGATTGCTTTTGAGATATCTTCATGGAGTTCTCCATGGAGTGGTCCATGGATCGCTCCAAAACTACTTCAGGGATTGCTCCAGAATTGTTCCAGGGATCGCTCTATAATTCTCCAAGAATTGCTCCAGAGTTTGTTCCAGGGATTGCTCCAGAACTCTTCCAGGGATTGCTCTGCAAGTCTCCAAGGATTGTTCCAGATTTGCTCCGGGAATCATTCTTGGGATGCCCCCAAAGGTCTTGCACTGGGAGAATAGGTTGCGAGGCCATTTCTGTGCCACTGGCGTTTGGAAGCATTTAAATGGGGACACTGGCTCATCGGAGAAGAAACAGTCTGTGTCTTCTTTGTAAATTGTATAGAAGCATTTATTTAATCGCTATAGGTCTGAACTGAACTGCACAACTATAAATCCTGACTTCTCCTCCACCTTTCCCTGAACGTGGGATTAAGTTTGACAAGGGCTCTCTCTCCATGGATGCCGGGGATCCAAAGGTTTCCAAACCTTCCTTGGGAGGTTTATTCCATTGCAACAAAAAACCCACAAGAGTCTTACGAGATTTGCAAGACAATCAGATTTTCACATAATGGAATCCTGCACATCAAATCTGATAGTTTGGAATGTATCCCCCCCTCCCACCAATATCTCAAAATTGCCATTTCAAGTGCAAAGGACATTGAACTGTTGGGGAGGAAAATCTACGCACCTCTACCAATTCCCCCACAAACATGTTGACCATGTAATTTGTACCACGAAAGTTGTTGAAACTTTGCAACAGAATTCTGCTTTCAGATACTAGCCTTGAAATTAATCATGTCTCCCAATTTCAGCTTCAAAATGTTGCTACTGAAACTGAGGTCTGACTGAAACAACCCAGGGTTTGAAGGATTAGAAGCCATGTGAATCCCAATGTCTTGAATGCGGGTCTCTTCCCTATACCCTTTGGAAATCTTTCTATCTATCTATCTATCTATCTATCTATCTATCTATCTATCTATCTATCTATCATCTCTCTCTCTTTCTCCATTCATCCATATTATCTAGAGATTCCATTATGAAGAACCTCCTGATGGTAAGGGCTGATCAGCAGTGGAATGTGATTTCTTGGAGTCTAGCAGAGGCTGGATGGCCATCTGTCAGGAGGGCTTTGATGGTGTCTTCCTGCCTGGCAGAATGGGGGTTGGACTGGATGTCCCTTGGGGATTTCTGTAAGTCTTATTTCTCCATGAACCTGCTAATGTCTAAGAGGCTGGATGGCCATCTGTCGGGGAAGCTTTGATGGTGTCTTCCTGCCTGGCAGAATGGGGGTTGGACTGGATGTCCCTTGGGGATTTCTTCCAACTCTAGAATTCTGTAAACCTATTTCTACATGAACCTATTATATCTAAGAGGTTGGATGGCCATCTGTTGGGACGGCTGTGATGGTGTCTTCCTGCCTGGCAGAATGGGGGTTGGACTGGATGTCCCTTGGGGAGTCCTTCCAACTCTAGAATTCTGTAAACCTATTTCTCCAGGAACCTACTAATATCTAAGAGGTTGGATGGCCATCTATTGGGAGGGCTTTGATGGTGTCTTCCTGCCTGGCAGAATGGGGGTTGGACTAGATGTCCCTTGGGGATTCCTTCCAACTCTAGAATTCTGTAAGTCTGTTTCTCCATGAACCTGCTAATATCTAAGAGGCTGGATGGCCATCTGTTGGGAGGGCTTTGATGGTATCTTCCTGCCTGGCAGAAGGGGATTGGACTGGAAGGTCCTTGTGGTCTCTATGATTCTATAATTAATTCTATTTTGTCCATCTATCTATCCTATATCTGCTGAACCAACTATCCTATCTGTCTATCTATCCATCTCTCTCTGTCCTAGCCTATCCTACATCTCCCTGCCTTTCTCTTTCTCTTTCTCTCTCTCCGTCCATCAATCCATCCTATTTATCTATTTTATCATCTTCTGCCTAGCCTATCTCTGGCTCCCTCTTCCTCCCACCTCCCTTTTTCTTTCTCTCCATCCTATCTATCTATCCATCATCTTCTGTCTCTCCTAACCTATCCTATATCTCCGTCTTCCTCTTCCTCTTTCATCTCTCTCTCTCTCCATTCATCCATCCTATCCATCTTCCAATTGTTTATCTGGTCCATCTGTCCATCCATCCATCTACAGTTGTCCCTCCACCTTTGGGGTTTTGACTTTTGGAAACTCTAGAGCAGGCATGGGCCAACTTGAGTCCTCCAGGTGTTTTGGACTCTAACTCCCACAATTCCTAACAGCCTACCGGCTGTTAGGAATTGTGGGAGTTGAAGTCCAGAACACTTGGAGGACCCAAGTTGGCCCATGTCTGCTTTAGGTCCTCCAGAGTCCTTCTATGGTCAACTTCCACCAGGAGCTGACCATCAATCATGCTACAAAGACCTAGAGAAGAGGCATCTCTGAGAGTCTCTAGGTCCTGCAATGCAACTTATACCAGGGAACCACCATTGGAGGACCTGGAGACATCTAGAGAGAAGTTGTGTGTAGGGATCTCTAGATCTCCCAGAGTGATTCAGTGTTTATCTTCCAACAGAAGTTGACCAGAGAGTCATGCTGGAAGACGTAAACATTCCTAGAGAGATGTTACCTCAGGTAAAACAACACAAATGAGGAAGAGATGCCTGTATGTCTCGATCTCTATCCAATCAATCTAGATCTATCTAGTCTTTCTTTCTCTCTGATCTATCAATCATATATCTATCTAGCCCTTCCTTCCTTCCTTTCTCTCTTCCTTATCTTTCTTTTCCTTCCTTTCTTTGCCCAAGGAACTAGCAAAGTGCTTGCGTTGTTTGGCACAGGGCAAAGGTATAGCTACAGGGCAGGAAAAATCAGGGCATTGGACCCCAAAAGCACATTCTGACACCCCAAAGTAATATTCCTCCTGTCCCCCCATTTCTAGCATTGCAAAGAACGGAAACTTAGAAATCTTTGGTTTGCAGAGTTGGCTTTCCTTTCCTCATTGGCCTTTTTCTTTCTTTGGAAGTTGAAGTTTCTGCAGTGTTAGAAGCCAGGAGGGTGAAGGAAATATTCATTTCAGGGTTGACAGAATGGAATCCTTGGGGGGCCATGCCCTCATTTTACCCCCTCCCCAAATTGCTATACTATGGTACCGTTGATCTACATTTCTTTGTTATATTATCTTTTGTGTTTTCAAGAACTCTTTCCGTTTGTTATGTAGGTTACGTTCCTTTCTTTCTGGATTAAAAACAAACCTGAATGGTTTGGTGGCTTTTGCCACTTCTCATAATAATGTTGTTATTTTGCCTGAGATTAAAAGAGGTACCAACTTCTCTGTGTGTCCCATGTGCTTTTTTGTTCCCGTCGTGGCTGACTTCCTACAGCACTGACAGTGCATCTATACTGTAGAATTAACACAGTTTGATACCACTTTCATTCCCACGGCTCAATGTTTGGGATTTTAGGAGTCCCTCTTCAGCAATGGAGGCCAAAGACCCATGCTATGTAACACGATTTTCGTTCTTGGGTTTTGAATGTCATTTCCTAATTGGTTCCATCATATAAAAAACATGGAAAAGTTTATTAAGTTTTCTGTATTGTTGAAGGCTTTCATGGACAGAATCACTGGGTTGTTGTAGGTTTTTTCAGGCTGTATGGGCATGTTCTAGAGGCATTCTCTCCTGACATTTCGCCTGCATCTATGGAAAGCATCCTCAGAGGTATTGAGGTGTGTTGGAACTAGGAAAGTGGGTTTATATATCTGTGGAATGACCAGGGTGGGACAAAGAACTCTTGCCTCCCGAGTTGTTTCTGGCTTTGGATTAACATCTCCTCTATTTGCTCAAAGCGAAGGAAACCTGCCCAAGAGTGCTGGTGCCTTGTCAAACTGAAACTCCCAAGATGTCATTGCATTGAGCCTCAGCAGTTAAAGTGATGTCAGACTACATTAACTCTAAAGCAAACACCACATTTTGCAGGTAAATGAAATCACAGATACCGGTCATGTGTATATAGGGAGCCATACTGTGCTATGGGTGCACCTACACTGTAGAATTCATGCAGTTCGATACCACTTTAACTGCCATGGCTCAATAGTATGGAAGCATGGGAGTTGTAGTTTTACAAGGTCTTTAGCCTTCTCTGCTCCAGAGTGTTGGTGTCAGAATGTTGTGGCATTTGGTGTCACTGTGACCACATGTTCTTTGGCCTTCTCTGCTCCAGAGTGTTGGTGTCAGAATGTTGTGGCATTCGGTATGACTGTGACAGCACATAATGTATGCATGTGCATTTTGCTTGTGCATTCAGCTGTGCATTTTCCTGAGCACTGGATACAAATTAAGCTCTCAATTCAGTGCGTATCTACACTCTAGAATTAATGCGGTCGGACACCAATTGAAGTGCCATGGCTCAATGCTAGGGACTCCTAGGAGTTGTAGTTTAACAAGGTCTTTTCCTCTGCCAAAGAGTGCTCATGCCTCACCAAACTACAACTCCCATGATACCACAGCATTGAACCATGACAGCTGAAGTGGCGTCAAGCTGCATGAATTCTACAGTGAAGATGCACAGCTTTTGCAAGGATAGCAGCACCTTTTGCCTTGTATATCCGCATCTTTAAAGTTTGGACTAAAACCCTGGAACAGATTAGGAGCCTAGTGTCTAGATCTAGGGAAGTAATGCTACCCTTCTATTCCGCTTTGGTTAGACCACACTTGGAATATTGTGTCCAATTCTGGGCACCACAATTGAAGAGAGATATTGACAAGCTGGAATGTGTCCAGAGGAGGGCGACTAAAATGATCAAGGGTCTGGAGAACAAGCCCTATGAGGAGCGGCTTAAGGAGCTGGGCATGTTTAGCCTGAAGAAGAGAAGGCTGAGAGGAGATATGATAGCCATGTATAAGTATGTGAGAGGAAGCCACAGGGAGGAGGGAGCAAGCTTGTTTTCTGCTTCCCTGGAGACTAGGACGCAATGGAACAATGGCTTCAAGCTACAAGAGAGGAGATTCCATCTGAACATGAGGAAGAACTTCCTGACTATGAGAGCCGTTCAGCAGTGGAACTCTCTCCCCTGGAGTGTGGTGGAGGCTCCTTCTTTGGAAGTTTTTAAACAGAGGCTGGATGGTCATCTGTCAGGGGTGCTTTGAATGCAATACTCCTGCTTCTTGGCAGAATGGGGTTGGACTAGATGGCCCATGAGGTCTCTTCCAACTCTAGGATTCTATGATTCTATGATTCCTTGTCCCTTTGGCATAGACTGCCAAGTGGGCAATCCCAACCAACTAATTCTAAACCATCAGCAGTTGGATTAATTGCCACTTTGGAACATACCATATGTTTATCAAAAGAATGAGACTCGAGTCCTAGGTAAAGAGAGCATTTTTTAAAACCAGACCTTTAATGTTTTTATTCCGTCGCTGTATCGAACAGGGAAATGGTCTGAGAACCCATTCTGCCATCAGCGGTCCAGCTCAAAGCCATCTCAGAGGGGAACAAGTTCAGCTCTTGGCCATGCTGGTTGGGGATGAGGGGCTATATCATCCAGGTTAAGGAAAGCATAGCTCAAGCACAAAGGGAACAAGCCGAAGGATGGGATACGTAGCGTGTGGCTCAAATCGCCAAACACTGGAGAAGACCTTTCTTGTTTTGCATCCAAACTGAGTTGAAACTTGACCTCTCCTTGGGTAATATTGGGGGAACTTCTTGTTTCTTTCTTTAGGACTTTTGGAGCACATACACATCGGAGTCCAAACACAGGCCTTGCAAAGTGTGAATGCCAAATGCTTCCAAGGGTGCATCTACACTGTAGCATTAGTACAGTTTGACACCACTTCAACTGCCCTGGGTCAGTGCTGTAGAATCCTCTTCCTTAGAAACAACTGCATTAAGTGCAGAAAGGGGTTGTGTTTACCAAATATCTCTTTATACAAACCGGGAGAATAATAATAATTACGACCATCATTCATTCTTGCCAGCAGAATGAAAGGCCCAAGAAGTGTCACAACTGCACAAAGACTGCACAGGCTTTAAGGAGAGTTGCAAGTTTATTCCACTCCCAAAATAAAATGGTTCTGTGGGATTTTTCTGGACGGGAAACTTATTTTTTTTTCGCACAGAAGCACTGCATTTGTTACAAAAGAAGGTTGCCATCCAGCATAATCTCAATCTGCTATTGCCTTTCAGTCTGCTGGAGTTTCCTGGAGGTTTTGAAGCAGAGGCTGGAAGGCTGTCTGTTGAGAAGGTTTAGATTGTGTCCTCCTGCATGGCAGGAGACGGTTGGACTGGAGGACCTATAGGAGTCTCTTCCAACTCAAATGATATATAGATCAATTCAGAGTGGAATGGAATTTCCTCTGGATGTTTTGAAACACAGCCTGGATGTCCATCTGTCAGGAGGGCTTGTGCCTTTCTCCATGGTAGAATTGCTTTGAACTAGATAGACTTCCAGTTCTAGGATTCTTTGATTCTCTAAATCACGGTGCATGAGATTAACCTAGAAAGCAATTCAAGTTCCCAATCTATATTAGAGTTTGTAAAAATCCAGTTAAATCGGAGTCTGGCTCATAAAATCCACCGGGACTTGTTTCTCCCGATTGGAAGTCCTCTTGGATACGGACATGAGACTGACCGCTCTTAGGAAGGTGAGAGCTGGATGCACATCTGTGATCTGGACTGTAAAACTGACCATTCTTAGGAAGGTGAGCTGGATGTCCAGCAACAGCTTCAAGTCGTGACTTTTTTGGTGGTGGCTCCATGTTTGGCCTCGATCTCTTGGAAGATGGTGTTGGAGTGGCCACTCTAGATCATTCCTGCCAGGAAAGGGGGCAGGAAAAGGCCAATGGTCCCCAGCAAACAGACAATGACAAACATCCAGAGGAAGATGCGGTCGATCACCATTGCAACATACTTCCAGTCTTCCTTCACCTGCAAAACAAGGGAGAAACCATTGAACAGGGCAAGCAACCCACCGACATTCCTTGAAGTATTGTCGAAGGCTTTCATGGCTGGAATCACTAGGTTCTTGTGGGTTTTTTCGGGCTATAGAGCCATGTTCCAGAGGCATTTCTCCTGACGTTTCGCCTGCATCTATGGCAAGCATCCTCAGAGGTTGAGAAGGTCAGACCTTCTCAACCTCTGAGGATGCTTGCCATAGATGCAGGCGAAACGTCAGGAGAAATGCCTCTGGAACATGGCTCTATAGCCTGAAAAAACCCACAAGAACCTAGTTATTCCTTGAAGTGTCCACCTACTATATTGTAGAATGGTTGCAGCTTGACCCCACTTGAACTGCCATGGCTCAAAGATGTGGAACCCTGGAATCTGTAGTTTTGCAAAGTCTTTAAGGTTCTTGGCCAAAGAATGTTGGGCTCTCATCAAAACACTTCTCCCATGTTTACATAGCATTGAGCCATGGCAGTTCAAGTGGTGTCAAACTGCATTTATTCTACAGTGTAGATGCATCTGAAGAGACATAATGAATAGTCTCATCATTAATGTTTTTGGACACCAAGAAAGTCCATTCCTCATTTTTCCCTCTTGAGTATCTGAATATAGTTCTCGCCCTTGTATTGAAAGGTGTTGCTGCAGTCTGAGATGGTTGAGTGGGGCAAGAGTATGGACATGGATTATGATGATGAGGATGATGATGCCATCACCAAGTCGGGGTCTTGATGAAAATTAAAACTTCAGCTGTATGCTGGAATATATGGCAGTGTGGACTCAGATATTCCAGTTCAAAGCAGTGATTGTGGGTTATTCTGCCTTGATATTCTGGGTTATATGGCTGTGAGGAAGTGGGACTGAAAGCAGTGCTGGGCTTTCATGGATTTACCCAAAAGTTTAGAGAGGAAGTCTATAGCACACACCACCACCCCCGCCCAATCCTCACCCAAGTTCTACCTTCTGATCCTTCATATGGCACCCGAAGCAAGGGAGAAGCCAGACTAGGAAGACCCTTTGCTCCTGGAACTCTCATAATATGGCAAAGAGCTCACTCAAAACAAAGCCAACTTGGTACAAAGTCCATTCCAAATAAAGCCAATTCAGAGCAAAGTCCTTTTGGAGCAAAGCCCATTCAAAGAAGAACCAACCCAAAGAAAAGCACATTCAGAGCAAAGCCAATGCAAGTCTACTCAAAGCAAAGCCAATTCTGAACAAAGATTATTCAAAGCAAAGCCAATTCAGAGCAAAATCCTTTTAGAGTAAAGCCCGTTCAATGAAGAACCAATCCAAAGCAAAGCACATTCAGAGCAAAGCTAATGCAGAGCAAAGCCTATTCAAATAAAAGCCCATTCAAAATGAAGCCAATTCTGAGCAAATACTATTCAAAGCAAAACCAATTCAGAGCAAAGTCCATTTGAAGTAAAGCCCGTTCAATGAAGAACCAACCCAAAGCAAAGCACATTCAGAGCAAAGCTAATGCAGAGCAAAGCCTATTCAAATCAAAGCCCATTCAAAATGAAGTCAATTCTGAACAAAGACTATTCAAAGCAAAGGCAATTCAGAAAAAAAGCCTATTCAAAGTGATGACAATTTAGAGCAGAGCCCATTCCAAGCAAAAGGTAATTTAGAGCAAAGTCTATCAAAGCACAGCCATATTGGAGTAAAGCCAATTCCAAGCAAAGATAATTTAGAGCAAAGCCCATTCAAAGCATATCTAATTTAGAGCAAAACCTATGAAAGCAAAAGCACTTTAGAGCAAAGTCTACTCAAAGCAAAACCCATTCAAAACAAAGCCAGTTCTAAACAAAGACTATTCAAGGCAAAGGCAATTCAGAGCAAAGTTCCTTCAATGCGAAGCCAATTCAGAACAAAATCTATTTAAATCAAAGCCCATTCAAATAAAGCCCATTCAGAGCAAAGTCTACTCAATGCAAGGGCAATTGAGAACAGAATCTTCCTGTTGTACACCCTCTCCCTTGAGATGTCTAAAAAGCTTTTAAGACATCTTATAGTAAGGATAAAGTTGACTACATTGTTTGAGTATCATAGCCGGAAAGGATCTTTGAGTCTCCTTGTGGAGAGAAAAAGTGGGTTATAAATAAATAATCATCACCATCATCACAACACAACCCCATCATCATCATCATCACAACACAGCCCCATCATCATCACAACACAACCCCATCATCATCATCATCACAACACAGCCCCATCATCATCATCATCATCATCATCATCATCATCGCAACATAGCCCCATCACCATCATCATCACAACACAGCCCCATCATCATCACAACACAGCCCCATCATCATCACAATCATCATCGCAACACATCCCATCATCATCACAACACAGTCCCATCATCATCATCACCACAACACTGCCCCATCATCATTATCATCATTACAACACAGTCCCATCATCATCATCATCATCATCATCATCATCCTCATCACAACACAGTCCCATCATGATCATCATCACCATCCAGGCCAGCAAGATCTTTATTTCTGACCCTTTGCCACTCACAGAAAAATCTGCATCCTCGGCCCGCAGGTGGTTGGCGATATAGTGTACCCCTTCCAAGGCCTTCAGGATCCCCGGAGAAAGCTGGAGTGCCGGCTCGGAAGAGGCCAAGTTCTCTGTTTTGGCAGCTGGTCGCTGGATGAGTTCAACGAAGCTCCTGCCCAAGTGCCGGGCACAGGTGTAGCGGTACTTGAGGCAGTGGTTGTGGCAAAGGCCTTGGAGGGGCAGCTGGCCCCTCCGCCTCCTCTCCTCCCCGCCTTCCTCTTCCTCCCCATCCCACTTGTCATGCAGGTCTGCTTCCAGCCAGCACTGGGAGGTGCTCAGGTTGGCCGGAGGGACGTCATACTGACCGACAGCCTCCTCTCCGGCCACCTTCAACCCCGGGGCCACCAACGGCGGTCGTTTCATGAAGAGCCACCGAGGGACAAAATCCAAGAAGAAGTTGCGGACCCAGCGGGGCATCTTGTGTGTGCTGGGTGAGCGGTGGTGGACGTTGAGGACGAAGACCGTGATGACGATGGAGAGGGTGACGAAGATCATGGTGAAGAGCAGGTACTCGCCGATGAGTGGGATGACCAAGGAGGTGGACGGGATGATCTCGGTGATGAGGAGGAGGAAGACGGTGAGGGACAGCAGGACCGAGATGCAGAGGGTGATCTTCTCCCCACAGTCTGAGGGCAGGTAGAAGACCAGGACGGTCAGGCAGGAGATGAGGAGGCAAGGGATGATGAGGTTGATGGTATAGAACAAGGGCAGGCGGCGGATGACAAAGCTGTAGGTGATGTCTGGGTAGATCTCGGTGCAGCAGTCGTACTTCTTGGTGTTGTAGGTGCCCACGGCATTGATGATAGCCCACTCCCCGCTCTCCCAGTAGTCCTTCAGGTCCACCTGGTGCTCCATGCTCTCCAGGTCGATCTTGGCCTTGTCGTAGGTCCATGAGCCAAACTTCATCTTGCAGTTCTGCTGGTCGAAGGGGAAGAAGGTCACGTCGATGCTGCAGGAACTCTTGTAGATGGCCGGTGGGACCCACTTGATGCTGCCGTTGGAGAAGAGGTGAGCCTTGGTCATGTGCGTCACGGCAAACTCCCCATCGGCACTGGAAGGAAGAGGAAACACTATTTGAACTAGGGGTATTCACAACTGTTGGAATATTTGGAAACCGGAGCAATACCACATTGAAACTCCCTCCAATCAAGTGAGTCTCTGTATAAATGATTAGGGGAATCATAGAATCCTAGAGTTGGGAGAGACCACCAAGGCTATCCAGTCCAATCCAATTGTGCCAAGCAGGAAGATACAATTTGAATCCTCCCAACAGATGGCCATCCAGCCTCTGCTTTAAAAACTCTATTGCGGCATATCCCACCCTCAAACAGCTCTAACCACCTGGAAGTTCTTTGCAATGTTTCAGAGCCCTTCCACACAGACATGTAACCCAGAATATCAAGGCAGATAATCCACAATATCCGCTTTGAACTGGGTTATCTGAGTCTAAAGGTTAGGAGCCCTCGGTGGTGCAAAGGGTTAAACCTTTCTGCCGACAGGACTGAAGACCAACAGGTCACAGGTTCGAATCCGGGGACAGAGTGGATGAGCTCCCTCTGTCAGCTCCAGCTCCCCATGCGGGGACATGAGAGAAACCTCCCACAAGGATGGTAAAACACCAAAACATCTGGGCATCCCGTGGGCAATATCCTTGCAGATGGTCAATTCTCTCACACCAGGAGCGACTTGTAGTTTCTCGAGTTGCTCCTGACCTCGGGGGGAAAAAAAGCCTAAAGGTTTTCCCCTGTCATTAAGTCCAGTCGTGTCCAACTCTGTCCAGCTCATCTCCATTACTAAGCCGAAGAGCCGGCATTGTCCATAGACACCTCCAAGGTCATGTGGCCGGCAAGACTGCATGGAGCACCGTTACCTTCCCGCCGGAGCAGTACCTATTGATCTACTCACATTTGCATGTTTTCGAATTGCTAGGTTGGCAGAAGCTAGGGCTGACATTGGAAGCTCACACCGCTCCCCGGATTTGAACCTGGAACCTTTCAATCAACAAGCTCAGTGGTTTAACCCACTGCGCTACCGGGGGCTCCCACTATCTGAGTCTACACTGCCATATAATCCAGTTCAATGTGTATTTTATATAGTTGTGTGGAAGTGGCCTCAGTGGATTCCCTTTACCGGCAAATTTGAATCCTTTGCTCAATTGAGTCCTAGTCTCCAACGCAGCACAAAATAAGTTTGTATCCTTCCTTAATTTGACACCTTTCGAATAATATAATATTTCTATGATTAATAAAATCAGACAATTGAGTAGAGGATAATTTATTAGTAAGAGGAATGCAGTTTGTAAATGTCTGTGACTTGGGAAAGAGAGAAGGTGTGAATGGAACACAAACAAGATTTGGAATTATGATTTCATGTTGCAATGTAATACTGAATATGCTGTGGAAATTTAATAACATGTTTTGAAATTATATTTTAAAATTAGGCATTTTCAATGGTAAAATTCTAGTCAACTGGATAGAAATGAAGAACTACACCCCTAGGGTGCATCTAACTGTAAACATAATGCATTTTTAACTGCTGTAACTCAATACTATGGAATCTTGGGAATTGTAGTTAGACAAGGTCTTTAGCTTTGTCTGACAAAGAGGGCTGAGTAGAGTCTCAGGCTGAATCTACACTGCAGAAGTAATGCAATGTGACACCACTTCAACTGCCATGGCTCAATGCTATGGAATCCTGGGAGTTGTAGTTTAGCAAGGTCTTTAGCCTTCTCTGCCAAAGAGAACTGGTACCTCACTAAACTATAAATCCCAGGATTCCAGACCACCAAGCCTGGGCAGTTAAAGTGGTGTCAAAATCTACAATGTAGAATTAATCAATGCTAGGACACAGGGTGCTGGAGGAGTATTTGCAGAATTCAGAACTGCCACTTGGTGGCAACATAACATCAGCCAATTCAATAGAGATGATTTCCCCATGTGCACAGATTTTGCAACCATCCACAGCGTAAATTTCTTTTAAAATTCCAGTTGTAAACCTTAATTCTGCCTCTTGAAATTCATTGTGTTAATTTTGGCCAATCAGCTCTCTAATCTGTTGTGATCCTTTTTAATTCTGATCCTGTTTTAAGTTGATCTTCTGGGTCAACTTCTGGAAGATTTCTCCCATTTTTGCAAGTTCCCCATGTTTTTTTAAATCATGTCAGGAGAGACTTCAGAAACCGCAAGTCGCTTCTGGTGTGAGAGAATTAGCCATCTACAGAGACGTTGCCCAGGGGTTGTTGTTGTTGTTTTTTTTGTCTTGTCAGAAGAGACTTGAGAAACTGCAAGTCGCTTCTGGTGTGAGAGAATTGGCCGTCTGCAAGGACGTTGCCCAGGGGATGCCCGGATGATTTGATGTTTTATCATCCTTCTGGGAGGCTTCTCTCATGTCCCCGCATGAGGAGCTGGAGCTGGTAGAGGAAGCTCATCCGCCTCTCCCCGGATTCGAACCTGTGACCTGTCGGTCTTCAGTCCTGCTGGCACAGGGGTTTAACCCACTGCGCCACCGGGAGCTCCTGCCCAGGGGTGCCTCAACTGGGAGGCTTCTCTCATCTTCCCACATAGAAAGCTGGGGCTGACAGACAGGAACTTACCCTGTCTCACGGATTCAAACCACCAACCTTCAAGTCAGCAGTTTAGCCGGCACAAGGCTGAACTGCGCCACTGCGGCTCCCGAGTTCTCCACTTACTTGTTATACAGCACAATATCTGGGATCCAGATCATCTCCGAAGGAACCCGGATAGATGTGACATTGTCAAAATCCAGCGGGTTCCACCGCAGCTTGTAGTCATTCCATTCCTGAAGACAAAGAAGAAATCCTTATTTTTTTCCCCTCACTTAGGCTGTAAGGGTGAATCTACATTATTGAAAGAATGTAGTTTGATTCCACTTGAATTGCCATGGCTAAGGAATCCTGGGAGCTGTTTGATTGGCAAAATTATTTGGCAAAGAAAGCTAAGTATGTATTGTTGAAGGCTTTCATGGCTGGAATCACTGGGTTGTTGTAGGTTTTCCAGGCAAATATGGCCATGTTCTAGAACATGGCCATATAGCCCAAAAAACCTACAACAACCCAAGGCTAAGTATCTTATAAAACTACAACTCCCAGGATTCCCACATGCAGAGGGCTGTTCTTTCCACGTTTGCTGTCCCCCAACTCCTACTTACTTGTTTCAGCCAAACATTTGTAGTCATCATTTGGTTCTTCTCGTCCTGGGGTGGAAGAGAAAATGGAAAGGAAAAGAAGAAAAGAGTTTCAACATTAATAGAATTCAGCGCCTTCTCTGAAAAGTCTAAAAAGAACAAGTAAGCTTGAGTGACATGTCACAAAGCCAAAGTCCATCATTCATAGAATCACAGAATCAAAGAGTTGGAAGAGACCTCATGGGCCATCCAGTCCAACCCCATTCTGCCAAGAAGCAGGAATATTGCATTCAAATCACCCCTGACAGATGGCCATCCAGCCTCTGTTTAAAAGCTTCCAAAGAAGGAGCCTCCACCACACTCCGGGGCAGAGAGTTCCACTGCTGAACGGCTCTCACAGTCAGGAAGTTCTTCCTCATGTTCAGATGGAATCTCCTCTCTTGTAGTTTGAAGCCATTGTTCCGCGTCCTATTCTGCAAGGAAGCAGAAAACAAGCTTGCTCCCTCCCTCCCTGTGGCTTCCTCTCACATATTTATACATGGCTATCATATCTCCTCTCAGCCTTCTCTTCTTCAGGCTAAACATGCCCAGTTCCCTAAGCCGCTCCTCATAGGGCTTGTTCTCCAGACCCTTGATCATTTTAGTCGCCCTCCTCTGGAGCAAGAAGTCCAATCACAGCAAAGCCCATTCAGCACAAAGCTATTCAAAGCTAAGCCAATTTAGAGTTAAGTCAGTTCAGAGCAAAGCCTCTCAGTTTAGAGCCCATTCAGTTCATACCAAAGGCAATTGACAGCAAAGTCAGTTCAAAGGAAAGTCAATTTAGAGCATTTTTGGAGTGAAACCAATTCAGAACAAAGGCAATTGTGAGCAAAGTCAATTCAGAGGAAAGTCAATTGAGAGCAAATAAATTTGAAGCTAAACCAATTCAGAGCAAAGGCAATTAAGAGCAAACTCGATTCAGGGGAAAGTCAATTTAGAACAAATCAATTTGAAGCTAAGCCAATTCAAAGTGAATGCAATTGAGATCAAAGTCCATTCAAAACAAAAGCAATTGAGAGCAAAACCCATAAAAAGCAAAGCAAGTTCAGAGCAAAGGCAATTGAGAGCAAAGTCAATTCAAAACAAAGGCAATTGGAAGGCAAGCCCATACAAAGCAAAACAAGTTCAGAATAAAGGCAATTGAGAGCAAAGTCCATTCAAAACAAAAAATAATTGAGAGCAAAGCCCATACAAAACAAAGCAAGTTCGGAGCAAAGGGAATTCCATTCAAAACAAGGGCAATTGAGAGCAAGGCCCATACAAAGCAAAGCAAGCTCAGAGCAAAATCCATTCAAAGCAGAGCCCATTGAGAGTCAAGACAATTTAGGACAAAGTCCATTCAAAGAATGATTGCGCTTTTACTGCCTGGCAGAATGGCATTGGACTGGATGGCCCATGTAGTCTCTACCAAAGGCAATTCAAAGCAAGACCCATTGAGAGCAAAGTCATTTCAAAGAGCTTCTACAGTGCCATATAATCCAGATTATCAAATCATATAATCCACATCATCTGCTTTGAACTGGATTGTGTGAGTCTACACTGCTATATAATCCAGTTCAAAGCAGATCATCTGGATTTTATATGGCAATGTAGAAGAAACCTAAGTCAGAACAAAGCCTATTCAGAGCAAAAGCCGCTCAGGACAAAGCCAGAATAAGCTCATTCAGAGCAAAGCCCATTCAAAGCTGGAAAAGTGACGACATGCTGTTTCCTGTACGTACCACATCAATTAGCTGAGCGATGGAAAGGCCGAACCTTACGATGACAACGTCGGAGGTACTGGGGACGGGCCTGGACCACTTGTTGTAGGCATTGAAAAGGTACCGGAATAACCGCTCTTCCGCCTGAGTTTGCGTCCGGCTTTGGACAGATGCTGGAAAGGAAAAGCACGCAAGTCATGATCACTATCAATCATAGAGTTGGAAGGGACCTTATGGGCAATCCAGAACAACTCCATTCTGCCAAGAAGCAGGAATATTGCATTCAAATCACCCCTGACAGATGGCCATCTAGCCTCTGTTTAAAAGTTTCCAAAGAAGGAGCCTCCACCACACTCCGGGGCAGAGAGTTCCACTGCTGAACAGCTCTCGCAGTCAGGAAGTTCTTCCTCATGTTCAGATGGAATCTCCTTTCTTGTAGTTTGAAGCCATTGTTCCTTGTCCTAATCTCCATGGAAGCAGTAAACAAGCATGCTCCCTCCTCCCTGTGGCTTCCTCTCACATATTTATACATGGCTATCATATCTCCTCTCAGCCTTCTCTTCTTCAGGCTAAACATGCCCAGCTCCTTAAGCCGCTCCTCATAGGGCTTGTTCTCCAGATCCTTGATCATTTGAGTCTCCCTCCTCTGGACACTTTCCAGCTTGTCAATATCTCTCTTGAATTGTGGTACCCAGAATTGGACACAATATTCCAGGTGTGGTCTAACCAAAGCGGAATAGAGAATGGGGAGCATGACTTCCCTGGATCTAGACACTAGGCTCCTATTGATGCAGGCCAAAATCCTATTGGCTTTTTTTGCCACCACGTCACATTGTTGGCTCATGTTTAACTTGTTGTCCACGAGGACTTCAAGATCTTTTTCACATGTACTGCTCTCGAGCCAGGCATTGTCCCCCATTCTGTCTCTTTGCATTTCGTTTTTTCTGCCTAAGTGGAGTATCTTGCATTTGTCACTGTTGAATTTCATTTTGTTGTTTTGGCCCATCTCTCTAGTCTGTCAAGATTGTTTTGAATTCTGCTCCTGTCCTCTGGAGTATTGGCTATCCCTCCCAAGTATCTTGTACTTTCCATTGTCAAGAAATCATGGGATTTACAAGAAGTCGGTTAGTTAATGTGCCAAATAAGGAATTAAGCCTAGGTGGTAGTTTGTAATTGGATAACTTTTGCTGCCGTGCCAAAGGGTCTTACCTATATAGTGTAAGTCTGAGAAACATTGGGGTCGGCAGCCTCTTGAAAGTACCGACCTGTGTGTTTGGTACGGCTGGCCCATCTCATCATAATTATGACGAAATAAAGCTTGCTTTTGTTTTTCTCCTGAGACTGGCTATCCGTCTGTTTGCCTCCTGCGACTGGACCTTAGGTTGGGATCAAGTTTGGGGGTCCCTAACATTCCCACTGTCCCAGCTTGGTTTTAAATTGGTCTGGTTTCTAACTCTGTTTTCCCCCTTTCGTCCCCAGCAAACTTCCATTGCTGCGAGCTGAGCTAGAGTAGTTTACGCTGCATCATGGAGCAGGGAGGCCCTTCAAATGTATGGCCTTGAACAGCAAAGAAAGGCTTGGCAGAACATAAACCCAATTATCTAAAAAGCCCCTTTCTTTTCTCAACTGCCTGTCGTTTGGCCCAAGACTTTCTTCCTAAGTGGGTTCCCGCTGCGGAATTGGCTTCCGTGGCTGCAAATGCATTTGCCCTGCCCTGTTCTGAGAAGCCTGGGCTGCCAAATTCCTCACTGCTTGGTGCAGATAGAAAAAAAAAGAATTAGTTTGTGAAATTCCACTCCCATGCGGCCCAGTGGATTTTGTAGGGATTTTATGAAGCCAGAAAGAGTTTGGGATGGTCCTGCCAATTCCTTCCTTTGAAATGGAACCTATGGCAAGAAAGACTCAGACTCAGAAGTGTTTTTGCCAGTTCCTTCTTCCAAAATATTCCCTATACCAGGCATGGGCAAACTTGGGCCCTCCAGATGTTTTAGACTACCGGCTGTTAGGAATTGTGGGAGTTGTAGTCCAAAACACCTGGAGGGGCCATTTTTTCCCATTCCTGCCTTATAGCAATTGACATTCATAGAATCATACAATCATTGAGTTGGAAGAGGCCTGGTGGGCCATCCAGTCCACCCAGTGCCAAGAAGCAGGAAAATTGCATTCAAAGCAGTCCCAACAGATGGCCATCCAGTCTCTGTTTAAGGACCTCCACCACACTCCAGGGCAGAGAGTTCCACTGCTGAACAGCTCTCCTTACAGTTAGGAAGTTCTTCCTCATATTCAGGGGAGAGTGACTAAAATGATCAAGGGTCTGGAGAACAAGCCCTATGAGGAGCGGCTTAAGGAACTGGGCATGTTTAGCCCGAAGAAGAGAAGGATGAGAGGAGATATGATAGCCATGTATAAATATGTGAGAGGAAGCCACAGGGAGGAGGGAGCAAGCTTGTTTTCTGCTTCCTTGGAGACAAGGACGCGGAACAATGGCTTCAAACTACAAGAGAGGAGATTCCATCTGAACATGAGGAAGCTCCTTCCTCCCTATGACTTCCCCTCACATCTTGATCCATGGCCCTCATCATGTCTCCTCTCAGCCTTCTCTTCTGCAGGCTAAACATGCCCAGCTCTTGAAGCCACTCCTCATAGGGCTTGTTCTCCAGACCCTTGATCCTTTGAGTTGCCCTCCTCTGGACACATTCCAGCTTAGAGTCATCATCTCCCTTCGATGGTGCCCAGAATTGGCTGCAGTGTGATTCCAGGTGTGGTCTGACCAAGGCAGAATAGAGCATGGGGAACATGACTTCCCTGGATCTCGAGCCCACAAGTTTGGGTTCTTCTTTCCCTGGCAATAATCCATCATTGCAGGGTGCTGAAGGTGCAAATATGGTGGATTTATTCCTATAGTTGCTCTCCTTCAATCATTATTTCTTTTCCGTGATCATTGTTTGCAGCATTTCGTCCATTTGTCAATGAGCTTTTTAAAAAAAATTGGCTCTACTTGAGCTGATACAAATGCCTCTCACTTTTGCATTTGGCTCCATTTATATATTTAAAGACGGAGAAGTCTCAGAAGGGTCATAAACAATATGCATTCGAGCATTCAATCACATTATTCTCATCCTCGTGTTTTGAAATTTCCAACAACCTGATCGCTAAAGAAGATTATTATGAAAAGCTTTGCCCTTCTTCCTATTTTTCCTCTCCTTACACTAAACAACAGAATTTGAAAAAAAAATGTTCCTGGTTTGAAAGTGTTATTTTCCCCATTTAATTGTGCAGTCCTTACACTGAAAGTAGTAAGTTCCAGGTGACCTTGGACTAGTCACTCTCTCTCGGCCTCAGAAAAAGGAAGATGAAAGAGAGGGCTTGCTGATGAAATTGGCAGATGACACCAAAGTGGGAGCGAGAGCTAATTTCCCAAAGGACAGGATCAGGATCCAAAACGACCTTCCCAGTTGTTCATTCGTTCAGTTGTCTCTGACTCTTCGTGACCTCATGGACCAGCCCACGCCAGAGCTCCCTGTCG